ATATACACAATCTACACACATTCAATAAAAAATAAATAAATATATGATTAATATGAAAGAGAAATAGAAAAGTAGTAATCCCATAAGGATTCAGACCCATTGCTGTGGCAAACCACATTAATTTATGTACACCAAATTACCACACACGTACTGCAGTTGAATGGCCTCTATTTGTGTACAACAATAGTGGTTAATGTCATTTCGGAATAAATACATCTGTCTCTGGAATTCAGGCAGTGAATTTTAAGTACAAATTTAATCATGATGACCAAGGTGCTTTCATACGTACCTTAGTGTTACAGTTGTAAAGAGGCACAGGCTAAGAGGGTATTAAAAATGAAAAGACAATGAATATCCCTTTGTGCACAGTGAAGCCAATCATAAGAAGTGAAAGATGTATCACAAAGTGCCTAGCTGCCTTGTTGAGAGCCTGGCATTTCACGTGACAGTTTCGTATGGAAACCTGGGGGTTAAAAGCAAAACCAAACTGCCCCGGATTAAAAAAACATAATTGGGAAACAGCAGCTCAGGCTCTGTGATTTATATCATAGTAGTTCTCAGAATGGCAAGGAGCTGATTCCACACACCCACTCCATTCTCAATTCATAATACTCCCATCAGGAAGATGGTATAGGGTACCAAATTCAAATAAAAACATTTTGTCCTCTCTGCAGTGAAACTGTTCAATGAATGTACAGAATGTACTGTAAATGTAGCCCCACCCCTACCTATTTATTTGTCAGTTTAGTTTTGTAGCACATTCTGTTGTTGTGATTTTAGGTGACCCTTGTGTTTTGTTTGTGTGTTTGTGTGTCCACTAAAGACACATTTAGTGGACAATAAAGTATCTATCTAGATTATGCTGTCCCTGCAAACTGATCATTCAGGCAAGGAGGAAACTGGTGAGAGATCTCATTATGAAGCCAAATGACCTTGAAGATACAGAGTTCAATGGCTGAGATGGGAGAAAATGTCAATGACTTAAGATGCACTTTGCATTCACAATCATGGTGTTCTTCTGTACACGCCTCTGTACTTTATTTGCCAGCTGTCTGATAGTTGAATATATTTAAAAATAACTTTAAGACTGAGGTTATGCTCACAGGCCATGTTGCATTATGTCTGTGGGAAACTATTACAAATCCATTAGGTTAGAATCCAAACACTCTCCGAACAATGGTTTATTCAGAACTTAAAAACCAGCCTTTTAATTATTTAGTTTTATTCCTGGCTACACAAAGTCAGTGTTCTTGACTTTCTTCCTGTTTAATATATGTGTACTATTGCACAGGACTGTGAGTTTTTTGTAAACAGAACCTAAATAATAAGTATTATTATTACCACCGTATTTACAGTATTAAGAGTAGTATTTACACTTGCAAGATTAAAGTCTGATTAAAGTCTTACATTGTTTATAAGTATACAGTATAAGCTTAAACATATTTTTGCTTCACCTGAAGAAATCTTTGTGACAGATCTTCTTAAATTAATGTCTGTGCTAATGGTTCTAAATTCTGATCCTGAATGAACCGTGAGTCTTTTCCTGCAATTTTCATTCCAGCTTGGTCCTTAGTTAATGCTTTTAACTGGGGCCTGATCTGACTTCTTATTTAGTTTTTTGTTATTGCACTTAGGACTTAGGAGAAAAAAACCCTAATGTACATTATTTCCCACAATTGCAGAAATTCAATTCTGAATTTGCTCCATTTTTGTCTGACTGAAAAGCTCTTGATAGGTGACCTTTTTATAATGAACATACACAGATGGAGGTGATAATGTAATAGGCACTCCCACAGTGAGTATCTTTCCCTCTCCTTAAGTCCACTAATCAAATTTCAGCTCACATGTAGTACCTAATAATTAGTAGTATAATTAGTATATTGTTGATACCAGTTGCATATACCATTAATTTTAAGAGGTGAAAGCAAATTTTAACAGGTTAAAATAGGCTGGATGGGCTGAATGGTCTCTCATTTGTAACCTTTCTTTGTTCTTAGTGCAAACTCTGTGATAGCGTTTTTGGATCTGACATCTTTTTATCATTTCTATCCTTCCCTATTTTTAAGGTGTGAGCTCTTGGTATTTGTGTTTTTCTGGTATACAGTATGTCGCTGTATTTTCAAAAATAATTTTTTTATTAGGTTGCAAATGTTATCATTGAAGAAATGTTTTTTTTTAATGTTGAATATTAAGTTTATGTATGCTTAATTTAAGCCTTGTCACATACACTGTAAACTAAGTCAGGAGTATTAAAAATTAAGCTTGCTTGTAACCTCAACATTTTTTTAAATTGCAGTATTTGAGTTGTTTGTGTACTTTCTCCTTTATAATAACTAATCATTCTCTAAAAGAAAACCTTGGGAGTTTTTATGAAGCAAACTGCATTTGCCTTTGTGGGGTTCAACTATTGTTATGTGTTACAAAAGAATGATTTCATTTGTGTAAGTGCAAAGATATAAAACGTACACCAAAGGGAACCTAGTGACAAAGCATTTCTTTGAAGGATAATTGGCCATCAATGAGCTTGTATTGCAGTGTTTTTCACAAGGCATGTTATAACTTGCTTGCATTGATTAGACAGCTACTGTAGTCATCTAATTTTTTTAGTCATCACTCAAAGAAACCATAGCCTCTAAAACTCTCCCAGAGAGCAAATTGGTACTATTTTTTCTATACCTTAAGACGTAACTCCACAAGAAGTGCATACAATATAACACAGACCATAGTAAATGTACTGTAGGTAGTATTTTTTGCACAATTTATCAGCCCAATCCCATATAGACCTAATTATTTTAAACATTTCTGTTAAATAACTGTACATTTTGCAGCTGTCGGGCATTGTTAGTCAGAAGGGATAGAAAGACTGTAGTAGTGTCATTCAGACTTCTGCGTGACGCTGGTCTACACTACAGCATTGGTAGTTTGGGTTTCTTTACCTTCCTATCCCATAACAAGTTGGGGGTAAATCCGCTCAAGCATTAGCTGAGTGGAAGATTAATTCACAATTGTTCTTGGTGCCAGTTGTCATAGCAACTGTGCTTCACATGCCTCAGTAGGAGTGCAGTGTGTTGTACTGTATGGGCGTTCATGAACTAGATACTTTTTCTTGTATATGCGTTGGGGAATGGCATTAAAAAGTCACTGGTGAGTGTGCTCTATTATAAAATGATACATTTTCCACTTGTGGCTTATCTAGATATGTAGATAATACTATTATTTTAAAACAAACACACATCACAAGCATTTTAGAATGAATTGTTTTTTGTTTGTTTGTGTGTTTGTTCACAGAGAATAAGAGAACTGGAGGATAAGATAGAGATCCAGAAAAGACAAATTAAGGAAATTGAAGAAAAGGTATTTTTGCAGTCTGTCTTTCTCTCTTCCTCACCCTCAGAAAAATTAAGTGTTGCCTTATGAATTTTGTATTACAGAATGCATCTTCTTTTCATTGCATCTCCTTCTCCCATTCATCTTCCAAATATTGTAGCTGATATTTTAAACTGTGCATAATGTATTTATAGCTTTGTTTTGTATTACACAAATGAAATAACTGGATAGTACTGGATAGAGCTTATTTTTCTAAAATTATTTCCCTACTACATTATTACTGTCATTAATACAGTATGTGTTTTGTTTGGATTTTCTGTGTTAGTTGACATGCTGAATGAAATGTAATGATTTCCTTTTTATTTTTGTGCCCATTAATAATGTATTCATTGCTGTTGTAGAATGTTCACAGATTTGGTTGGAGTCTTTGATCTGGGTTACCGCATCTAAAGAAAAAACAGCACTGTTAAAGTTTTTTTTTCTTTTTATGCTGGTGTGATATGCCAGTTGAATGCAAATGACAAATGTGCTAGCTACCAAGCTGGAAACTGTTTAGTTTTCTTTGTATTCACATTTCTTTGTGTTCTGAAATAGCTATCTGTAATGCTGTATGTGAGTTAATATGTTAACAGAGATTATGCTGATAACACATTTTTATTTTCTCTCCTGTTTATTTTCTCTGGGAAACTTTTTATTTCTTTTTTAGTTTTTGTTTCTCTTTTTATTTTTTTCTTTAGCTTTTATTCTCTGGCCATGAAGACAACATAATCAAAGAACAGGTAAAAGGCATTCATACAGTAATTTGTACAGTGTTAGAACATTTGATTTTTTTCTGTCTCTTACATGTACTTTATTTCTTTAGTTATATGGTGAAAGGTTAGAATGTCTAAATCATACAGCAAAATTAAATCTGTGGTTTTAGATTCTCTTTCAATCTTTTACCACTTCTAGAAAAAGAGCCTTGTTAATTTTCTGTTTTATCTCTACCAATTTACTATTTAATGTTTGTATTTAACAGTATGCTGTGTATTTATTTGTAGAATAATATGTAATTGGGTTTAATTTCTTTTTTTTCCCCACTTTAGGCACTAAAACGAACTCATGGAACATGATGAGTTGAATGCGTTAACATTCAAGTGCACCAAGAAACACTATATAGTAAATTACTATAATTAAAATTGAAATAAAATGTAAATTACTATTTGAGTTTAAATAAAACACTATATGTTTTTAGCCTTTTGTATAACGGACAATCCATAATGGCGTTTTTTTATTTGGTAGCACTTTTAAGGAAGAAACCACTCATGTAAAATAAGCAGAAATTGCTTTTTTCAGAAAGAATTATCAGTGATTTTGAAAATAAGTCGGATGTTACATAAGATGAAATATTGCTTTTATTTCTGATCCTAGCCATAATATAGCTAACATGCAAAAAAATTAAACATAAAGCACAGTGGCAACATTATGAGACAAATATGGGGAAAAACTCCAATACTTCAATATAGACTGCACAAAGTATCGGGGAAGAATAAGAATCCCTAAGCAAACTGAAGCATACAGAGGAAAAGTACGAAGACATCAGAAAAGAAAAATTGATGAAACTGGGTTTTTAAGACAAAATGTATTAGAAATGGAGAGAGATGAGTCAGAGCCACAACACGTGCAGTAGATTAAGGTGCTAATGTTTGAAAATACAGAGAGGGGTGTCGTTCAAGAAGGGGCTAATGAAGATCTAGCTGAGAAGGTTAATGGCATGAGCGATCACACAAATGTTCTTGAAATCAGAAAAGATCGGCTGAAGGAAAAGCTGTCAGGAACAGCCTTTGGAGAAACAAAACTCAGCAAGCCTTTTGCAAAACCACAGAGTGCAGTCAAAGAGGTGGTAATCCAGGAGGTACTGGTAGGAGAACAAAGAGAACAGTTGGCCAAACTGGAAAACAAACTTCAAGGCAAGAGTGAGACCCCAACACAAGAAATTCCAGACAAAGGTGCAGCTGTTCCACTGCAAGAGATTCTTGGTGAAAGTCAAGACATTCCTCTAGATATACCAGCCGTAAAAGAGATTGTCTGGCAAGACCTTGACAAAAGGATTGAATTAGACAAGGTTGGAGCTATTATCAGGATGGACACTGGGTATGCGGTAGATATAAAAGAAAAAGGCATAAATATCAGTGAACAGAACGAACAAGTCAAAAGCCTGACGAATGACTTGAGAGACGTTCAGGTGAAAGTGGTGCTTCACACAGAATCTGAAAGAAAGCTACAAGAAAGGAACAGAATGCTGGAATCTCTCTTGGAAGACATGCAGAAAGACTGTTCGAAAAATGGACGGGATAAAATTACTCGAATGGAGAAACTGCTGAGCATGAGAGAAGAGACCATACAGGGGCTTCAAAGCAGGCTAACCAGTCAAGAACAGCTCCTGAAAGAAATGGAGGAGACACAGAGGAGACTGTCCATACGCAATGAAGAACTTGGTGCTAAACAACGTGCCTTGAGTGATGAGGTTCACAGATGGAAGGCGAAGTGCACAAACCATGAACGGTGTGACAAGGAAAAAAAAATTGAAAACAAACAACTGGAAGAGAAAATTCATCGACTGGAGTCTGAAAGTTCACACTATGAATCCAAACTGCGAGAAAAAATATGTGAATTTGAAGGCCTCAGCACCAAAAAAGATAAGGAAATCACTGATCTTTTGTCTGAACTGAAAAGGTTAACGACAGACTTTGAAATTAAGGAGTCTGTGTGGCAGAAAGAAAGGCAAAATCTTGAATTGCAGCTAAGGAAAAAGGTGAGGGAGTTACAGGCATCTGATGAGCATTACAAAATGTTGAAACAGGACTTTGATTTTCTGAAAGAAAATATTTGTAAGCTGAAACAAATGGAAACCACACTTCAGCAGAGGAATGAAGCACTGGATATTCAGCTCTTACAGAACTCTCAGCTTGTGACGTCGTTAGAGGAGACAATAAACAGAGAAAGACAGGTTTTAAATAGCTTGACAAATGACCTTAGTACTAAAGATAAGAAAATCAAAAACTTACAACAGCAAGAACGTGCATTGCAGTCACAAGTAAAGGACTTACAAGAGGTATGTGATTTTATTTATCATATTTAAATATTTACGAGCCTTGCACACTGTAATGTGTTATGTACACAGTAATATATGGATAATGAATGCAAACTTAGTCAAACTAATACACATTTTGTTAAATAAGACGTTTAATATGTTTAACATAATGGATCTTGTTGAATGTCATTTTCATGTGATACCCATTCAGTTGTACTGGACACTAAACATTTCATAGCGCCCGAGTAGCCTCTGGAAACATTTCTCAGATTGACAGGAAGCATACAGTGACGATCTGTGTGAGATAAAGCTGAAAAAAAGAAAAAAATGATGGAAGGAAATAATTCAGTTAGTAATCTTAATGCTTTTCCTGTCAGTTATTCAGGTTTATAATACACTAATATTCTTGAACTGTGTTCGTTGGCATTAGCTTTGAGAAACCTCTAAAAACATATTTTTTATTTATTTTTAATTATTGAATTAGATTATAAAATTATAATAGATTTTATATATGATATCATTTAAATCATATTTAATTTCTTTGATTTCCTATTTTACTATATACAGTACCATCCAGGAAAGATATATCCCTTTCCCATTATAAATTTTAATACATTTCCCATTGGCCCTTACCAATCATGGCATCCTAATAATCCCCATCTATGAATTGGCTTCATTACTCTGCTCTCCTCCCCACTGATAGCTGATGTGTGGTGAGCGTTCTGGCGCACTATGGCAGCTGTCGCATCATCCAGGTGGGGCTGCACATTGGTGGTGGTGGAGGGGAGTCCCCATTACCTGTAAAGCGCTTTGACTGGAGTGTCCAGAAAAGCACTTTATAAGTGTAAGCAATTATTACTATTATTATTATATCCATCAACCCACTTGTCTTTCTGATACTGGCTCTACTATATGAACAGTTACAGGCATAAATACCTGTTTTTTTTTTACCCCAAATGTTTTTCACTAATTTATTTATTATCTACACTAAAATATTGGTTATTGGTTGATCCAAAAGTAGGTTATTGATTTTTCTAATTTGACAAGATATCTAGACTAACCCGAATATGGAAATTGTTAAAAAAGTTGGAGGGCATGGTTGGTGTCCTATATATGAAGGAAGCTCTTCAGCCAGCTGTCTCATAAGGCTCTCGAGAAAGGCAGAGATGTGAGTAGTTGGACAGTTGCATGCTGAGACGATGGGGCGTCCAGGGGTGTCGGGTTTGTGGATTTTGGGGAGGAGGTAAAATTGGGATACCTGGGGATGTTCAACGATGAGACGGTTCGCCTCTTAGGGGAACTCCTTGCTGCTGATCAGAAGCGGGATGGTGGATACCACTTCCATTTGGTATGTAGTAGTAGGATCCTGTGGGAGAGGACGGTAGATGAAGTGTTGGTTAGTTGTCTGGAGGCTTCACTGATATATACTGTAGGTACTGTAAATACTGTGTATATTGATATATACTGTAGATTGGAGTGCCTGAATTTCTCCTTGGGTGAGGTTAGACCTGTGTTTCCTGGGTGTGGCAAGGGTCCTGGGAGCTTGATTGTTGCATTGATTAATGAAGTAATCTACTGACAATAGATTACTAACCTAAGCTATGTTAAATGTTAAATGTCAAAAGCTAACCTGAATATGTTAAATGCACAGTACCTATCAAAAGTTTTCACCCCTTTTGGACCTTTTCACATTTTATTGTGTTACAATATGGAATTGTAATGTTTTTGTCTTGCCGGCTGCTTAAAATGAAGTAATCCACAGCTGAGAGTTGTGAGGTGAACCAATGTGAAGATTGAGAGAGACAAATGAGGAAAGCAGCAGGCAGCACGGTGTGTGTAGCAGGTAATGAGCAGAGCAGTGATGGGCAGGCAGGCCAGCATGATGCTGGCAAAAACAGTCCAGGGCCATAGTCAAGAAGAAAGCAACGTTCGTAAACAAATAGACTCTGAGCCAAAACACACAGGAAATTCAAAGTTGATGTCCAGAAACAAGATGGGTCCATAGCCAGAGGCAGAGCACTATGGTAATCCAAAGGCAAAGTCGGAACCCAGGAGGGTGGGAGTTCAGAGTGAAACGCAAACAGGGAGCAAAGCTTGAGAACTAAGTTGTGGCTACGGGCAGCATGCTAAACTCTATACCAGAACCCAGAGAATTTGCAAAGCTTTGATAGAAGACACTCTTAAAAAAGTACAAGTAAAAAATAAAACTATATATCCTCCTAATTTATAAATATTAACAAAAAGAAGTGCGTGCATGGGTATTCACCCCCCTTTGAGTTAATATTTGATAGCTACATCTTTGGCAGAAACTAAAGCCATGAATTTTCTTGAAAAAGTCTCTGCCTGCTTTGCATATCTGGACACTGCAATTTTTGCCTGTTGTTCTTTGTAGAATTGCTCGAGGTCCGTCAAGTTGGAGGGGGTACTGCTGGTGATCAGCAATTTTCTACTCCTGCTTCAGATTCTTGATCAGATTGAGGTCCAGGCTTTGGCTAGGGCATTCCAGAACAACTTTTTTTAAGGCATTCCAGTGAGGATATGGCAGTACTGTAGGTTTTGGGTCATTGTCCTGCTGAAGCTTGTCCTCAGTCATAGATCTCTTGTAGACTTCTGCAGGTTTTCCTCCAAGATTTCTTTGTACTTTGCTGCATCCATATTGCATCTTCACAGGCAGGTCTTCCAGGCCTCAAAGCAGCTAAGCATACCCATTTCATGATGCTGCCACCACCATGCTTCACAGTATGGATAGTGTTTTCAGGATGATGTGCAGTGTTATGCTTGTGCCAAACATAGTGCTTAACATTGAGGCCAAAAGGGTCAATTTTGGTCTCATGAGACCATAGAATTGTCTTCCATTTGGTCTCAGAGTCTCGTTCATGCCTTCGTGCCTTCTGTAATTGAGATTTGATGTGAGTTGTTTTAAACAGTGGTTTTTGTTCTGCCACTCTCCCAGGAAGCCCATGTTTGTGCAGCATCCAGGCAACTGTTGTCATATGCACAGTTTCTCCCATCTTAGCCATGGAAGACTGTCATTCCTTTATAGTTGTCACAGGCCTCCTGTATGCCTCCCTGGCTAGAGCCCATCTTGCCCAGATCCTTAGTTTTTGAGGATGCTCTGTTCTATCCAGATTCACAGTAGGGCGGTATTTTCACCATTTCTTTAAAATGGATTTTACAGTGCTTTGGGAATTAACCTTTCCCCTGATGCTTTTCAATAACAAGTTCCCCGATTTGCTTTAAATGTTCCTTTGTCTTCATGATACAGTATACAGTAGGTTTTGTGGGGATCTACAGCTATCGACTGTGGAACCTTGCAGAAGGAGGTGTATTTAACCTGAACTCATGTGCAACATCTAAGTTATACACAGATTGACTCCAGTCAGCTAATTATGTGACTTTGAAAGAAATTGGCTGCACCAGAGCATATGTTGGTTTTCCATTGCAAAGGGGATGAATACTTATGTAGTCAGTTATTTTCCGTTTATATTTATAATTAATTTGAGAATATCTGTAGAATTGTGTTTTTACTTGACATTAAAGAGTGTTTTGTATTGATCAATGGCAAAAGTCCCAGTTAAACAGATTATGATTCCATATTGTATCACAGTAAAATGTGACAGAGGAGCAAATACTGTATAAGCATTTATTTTCAGTCTTAGGTGCTCCCTAAATGAAGAGGGTAATCTGAGAGGCTTGTTAATGTTTTATGACTGTGCAACCAGTAGCAGGCAAGCTTCTACGTTCTGTTATCAATTATTAAGACAGATTCACTGAACAAAAGGGAATCCAGCAGTATAACTTGACTTTAGGATGTGACCCGTTTTCAGGCAGGTCTGGTAAATAACATGGCAAGTACAGTATGCCAGCAGCACTGACTCAGACATCTGCAAATGTAAAACTGGACTTATGGAGTCCTTGGAGAGAATCAAGGAATGTTGTTACAGTTTCACTGTCCCCTGCTCTGAGGGAGATGATGTTGTGAATGTGAACTTGATGATTGATACCTCCTGGTCATTTCAGGACTTGGAGGAGGCAAAAAGAGAGAGAATTGACAAGCAACCTGAAGAGCAGATGGCTAACCAGGAGCTTCAGCTTTTGTCACAGAGGGTAAAAGTGCTGGAGCACAGCCTCCGGGATAATGTCAACAGCTTCACAGAGTCTGAAGAAGCACTGAAAAACCGGTAATCTGAAAATAATGATCTCCTGACTGTATAGCTGTTATATTTCCTTTTCTTTTGTAGAAAACTGCTAAAGGTTTTCAGTCTCAGATCAAGCATTAAAAGCCATTAAAGTGAATTACCTCCTCCCAGATTGCATATCATTAACAAATGCCTCTTATTTTAGACAATAGGGATAATCAAATTTGTGCTTGAAAATATCTTAATTAAATGTACTTTCTCTGGTGTATTTCAACAAAAAATGAAACGTATATTACCCATGCAGTATTACTCAATTTTAGGCACTCATGATTTAGTTATGCTTGAGTCTATTACTGTATATGACTACATGAGATTAAACACAGTTTTTATACAGATTTAGTCTCAGATTAGTATATAATTTTCTATCCACAAGAAACTGATATTTGTTTTGTAATTAAGAATATATACAGTATATGGTGATACTGTAGGATGAAATGTACAACAGCAAGTGATTCTGAAAACTTGCATTAATTATTTTTTTATTTTAACATGGTATTTTCTTATTTTTTCTTTTCTAAATCATGTATTATAATTATATACAATAATATATTTCAATTATATAATTACATTTACTATTGTCAATGGTACATTCTTGTTTAATATTAATTTGCCTGACAGAATTAAAGAACTGGAAATGTCAGAAAGAAATCTTCTGGCTAAGGTGGACAGTCTCACTGTAAGGTCAGTGCCATCTGCTGTCCCAAGACAAAGACAAGAAGACAAGCTTCAAATGCTCAAGGAAGAAATACAGAACATGGTAAAATCCATATGATTAATTCTGTTTTCAAACTCTGGTTCAGTTTAATTTAAGAGTAATATTGCACAATATACTGTATGATTCAGTACACATGTATAATACATGCTTTAGAATATTTGTTATGATTTTTAGGGGTGTATTTCATGCAGAAATCTACCTTTCAGCTGAAGTGTCTACAGTACACACAACCATAACTCATAAAATTATTGTCTGTGAAGAAGTCCTTAGGATAATCTAATAAAAGTGACAAAGCAATTCTAGTCTGAGTGTGTACTAGGCATTAATAGAATTAGCATCCATGTGAAAAGCCACGTTTGTGAACATATTGTTTCATTTGAAGTATGGAGTCAGAGATTGATGAGAGGTGCCGCAAGACGTATTACAATTCATGTTCAGTGTCTTAGCATTCAATTCAATAGTTGTGCCTTTCATTTGATAAAGAACATACATTTCCATTTTGTGTCAACTGTTCATGTTCAGCAAATGTGTGTGTATCTGCTGTGTTAGATATTTCAAAATGTGGTATAATTTTGAAATGATAACTAAAGACATGCAGTCTCCAAAATGTTCTCTTCTGTTCTCTTCACTGTATACAGTACATCCAAAGATTTTGTATCAGAAAACAGGAATTATCAAGCATGTGATTCTTCTCAAATTTATCAATCCCTTAATTGGCCCCCTTTTTATTCCAAACAAAATGTAATCGACACTATTAAAAATCATTTCTTTTAGGGTTCTTCAAGTTTATTACCTAGTACAATTACAGTAGTTAAATCTGCAAATTGAACATCAGCTTGTTCACGATTCGGACTGGCCAACAGACTATTGGAAGACCCTGTTGAAGAGTGGGAAGAAGAGCAGAGGGGGGTGAAAAGGAGCCAAAGGGTTTTAAGGGCAAGTTTCAAACTAGCGGCGCAACAGACTAGGATCAAGAGTCGAATCTAGCTAGTGAGTGAGCTTTTTCTTGCCCTGTGCCTAAGTACCTACTATTGAGCATCTCAACACGGTCTGGATTATGTATTGTAATGAACACTCCCGGTTCTGTGTCAGCAGCGTGAACAATGACAGGAGGGAGCTGAATTTACAGGCACATTGACAGTTTTATTCCCCTTTTAATTACAGTGGTTATCACATAGATAGAGGAAATTGCAGGCATCATCTGGACGGAGAGGAGGAATTAGTTTTTTTAGCTAATTACTATAAGGTTTTGATTACTGTTGCTTATCTTAGTTAATCAAGGTTATTTAAATTATCATAAAGCCAATGCATTAGCAACTGTCAAATAAGGGAAGTACATTTGTGTCTTTCAATCAAATATACTATATACTGTAGTACAGTATGCGATGGTATAGGGGTGGATGTGGTTATATGCAAATATGGTTATTTGCAACGGTTCTCTTCACCGAACCTTCACGAATGTTGAGACCCTACTGGATTTCAAAATTTGCCCTATTTTACAGGTATCAGAAAAGGAAAAACTAGAAAAGGTTTGGAAGGAGAAACTGCATCGCTTTCAGAACCAAATAAAAATGAAAGAAGAAGAGATGAGAAAGCAGTCAGAGTATTTCGAGCACTACAAGCAGAAGCTTAAATGCAAGCTGGGTTTCATGAAGGAACGGGAGCAAGGCCTGCAGGGTCAGATATTTAAGCTGGAGAGGGAGATCATCAAGCTCACTGCCTCTGCAGCTCTGCTGAGGACAGAGCTGGAGAAACACACCTTGGATTCTACTGCTTTTGCAAGAGGCCAGAGGCTGGCAGAGTTGGATGTGGCGGACACTAGAATAACATCCTTTCTTGACGGAGGTGAGGATAAGATAAAGGGATTCATCCGCAGTCTTCAAGAGGATTTAAACAACTTGCTGGAAAGGGAAGAGGCCAGTCACATGGAGAGGAGAGAACTTAAAGACCGGCTTCAGGATGCTGAGGAGAATGAGGAATTTCTGAGCAGAAAGCTGGAGGACTTTCGCTCCCGCATACACGAGCTGAAGCTGTCAGAAAGCAGCCTTTTGGAAGAGCTGGAGGAGCTTGCGGAAGAGAATGAGCGCCTCAGAAGAAACTTACCACAGGCAAGGAAGGATATCAACTCCAAAGAAGAATGTTCTGCCAATTTTGAAAACAAGGGACCTGTAACTGTTGACAGCAAGTTTATGGTAAGTGTTATTCACTATAATGACACAGTAAAGATATCATTGTGTGCAACATCCACAGTTACGTTATTTTTTACATAGCATTACAAAAATATCCACCTCCTTCAAAAAACAACAATATCCTTTATAGGACACACATATACTGTATAGAGGGGATAAGTGAGCCAGCTAATATACAGTACATAGTGTATTTCAGACAGAACCAAAGTTCATCTACCGTGTCAAAAGGGTTTCCCTAAACAAACATTTTATGAGTAAGTAGCACTGATAGGAAAATGAGTATTACAAATCCTTATTTATTTTATAGATTTCACTACAGAAAGGGAAGGGTTATGTATTTCTAATCAAGTTATGCTGTTTGAGGGTGAAACTGAGCAAAGAGAAGATCCGTTGACAGGACATGTGAAGTCACAGAAGTCTTTTGTTTTTAATTCCTGCATAACATTTTCATTCCTCTAACAAAGCCACAAAGCAATATATTTGTTTTGTTTCTTGTTAAATGTCTTTCTGTACCATAGAAGGCAGTAAATCACATTTAGACTAAATCATTTGAAGGTTAGAAATCTCTTTTGAGTGTTTCTTATATACAGTACAATAAAGATGTTTTAGAGTAACAACGCATCCGACCTTATTTCCCCATATTTAAAATTAAATAAATACAACACATAATACATACAGTACATACTTACTTCAGTCTGCTACAATACAGTACTGTATAAGTCGGAAGCCACCTCACCAAACCAAACAAAATGTATCACTAATGGTAAAATTCAGTTTTTGAGACGTACAGTACTCTTTTATGGAAAATTTCAGGTTGAATGGCCTTATCAATGAGCATGGTTTCAGGCTTAACTAGGCTAAGAGTGGGGGAATACTCAATCACTTTTGGCTTCATTTGTCAATATGCCTTTGCATTCAATGCAAATGCAAGAGATTGAAAAGAAAAATCACTTTCTTTGAGGCTTTTGCTTTTAGGCAAGGTGGACAATAGTCCCTTATAGGACAATGCAGTGTACTGTAGATGGCCATATACTGTATGGAAGAAGAAAAAAAAGTGAAGATAACATTGAAATATCTCTTTTCCTTAATTTAATTCCTGTTTGAAAACACAGCCATGCGATCCAAAATTGTCTACGTATTGTGGGAATCCTAACCCTAACCCTAGCTCAGGGTTTAGCATAGGTTAGGGTTTGGGTTAATACTTTCTTCAAAGTGTTTCCCTAATCTTCCACTGATCTAAGTGGATAATATACTTAACTGAATCAAGATATTAGTCTAAAGCTACCCCACCAAACCAAGCAAAATGTATCACTAATAGTAAAAGTCTATTTTTGAGACGTGCTCTGTTTTGGGAAATATCAGGTTGAATGGTGTTCTCATTGAGCATGGTTTCAGGCTTATCTACAGCAGGTTAAGAGTGAGGATTACTCAATCACTTTTGGCCTCTTTTGGTTATATGCCTGTGCTTTCAATGCAAATGCTAGAGTTTGAAAATGATTATAACTTTCTTTCAAGCTTTGCTTTTAGGGCAAGTTGCAGAGCAGTCCGTTATAGGACAATGCAGTGTACTTTATATAGCCACATACTGTAATTGTAAAAGTGATTAAAAGTTATTTAAATTTGACTAATACGTTCCAGCCTTTATTAGTTTTACAGTATATCCTTTTTATCTCTTTATTTATCAAACCAAATTTTTAAAGGTTGACTGAATTGAACTTGATATGAAGTGTTACAGTACTCATCATGTTTTCAAGAAATTCTACTTTAAAGAGTTGCATAGTGTCCATAATATTAACTATGAACTCATTATTTCCTACCTATTCCTGACATTCATACTCTAGTTCCATTAATGTAATGTAGTCCGTAATCTATTGTAAAATATAAGGAATTGGTTGTCAACAAGCAACAACAAAAAAGAACAGCAACCCTTAAATACTGTCTAACAGTAATCTTTGGAGTTAAAGGCCCACATTGTTCATTTTGTGTTTAATATACTGAGCATCAAAAGCAACATACAGTATCATTCTATTTATGTACAGTATGTATGGTATGTTTTTAGAAAAAGAAAGAATATAGATTTTGGATATTAATTAGATGTTTTACTGTCATTTTGATTTATTGACTGCTCGTGACTGAAATGCAGTTGAGTGACTTGCATAAGTATCACCTCATAAGAGAGACAGTTGTTTAGGTGCAAGAAATGAAGTGATTTTACCCTTTAAAGCCCAAGCCTGAAGAACACAGAAAGGAACTGCTATGCTTGCAAGAGAACAATGCCTTTGTGCCTTTAGTATGTTAGAGTCAGAACACTATCACTCGCTGTCTGGGGTGTTCATAGCCAACAATTTCTTAACTGTCAAGACTTAATGGCCAAACACAGTCCATCAATGATAGGCAAGAACCTGGAAGACTACAAGTCACACATTTCACCAAGATCTATATGAAGTCCAAGCGTGACGGTCTCTGCAGGAGTGTCTATTCACCAAAAAAAAACAGTTATAGTCATTGATGACAACTTGACAGTACAGTGAGGAATCAACCAATAAATCTAAAATAATGATGATTTACATTTATATTATACATTTCATTTCAAGGGATCCCAAAGCTTTTTTTCACATAGACAAAAACCATAAACATAAACATCTTGTTTATCAAATGCAGCACTTGTGGGTTCATCCAGATGTGATAACATTCCACCTGGAGAACATGACTGAGAACATTGCAACCAGTATACAATGGATTTCTTTTGAGATGCGAATGTGTCATTTACTGTATGCTGTAGATGCTCTAAATAACCAGGCTTGAGTCCCGTTGAACATTTGTGGGATGAATTAGGATCATGCATTGCATCCAAAGCACAGAGACGTGCTTGTCAAGGCTCTACAACAGCAATGGAAAAGAATGCCACAAGACATAGCTTCTAAGGCAGCATTGCTTCTAAGCCTTAGTTAACCTCGCATTGATCCATCTTGTTGGTGACAAATGTTAGTTACTGTAAATGTTAATGGATTTAAGATCACTTTAATGGCCATATACAATTTCTTGTATTAGGAATTTGTGTTTTCTCATACCTCACCTTGCTCTCCATGAGCAATCTTTTATCTATGCACTGTGTTTAATATCATGTCAGTGGTCCAGCTGTAAAGAGATTCATTTTCCTTATAATATCTTTGTGAATTTGTTGCCGCTGTAAGTGGTTTCTTTTCATACTTAGCATATATTGCTTATTTCTATTTAAAAGTAAAGGTACAAGTTATTATACAGAAATATTTACTTTTTAGATTGGCCACAGACTTAAGTAGCAGTGATAAGAGCATCCAGAGTTCAACATAGTGTTGAAACTTTAAAGATAGTAACTATAAAGGAAGCTAATGACTATGGTATTTTTAAGTGAGCTTTGCTAGTCATGGAGTGTAACAGCATGTTCTTTTGTGTTTGCTTGGTCATAGTACAGCATCATTGTATATTAAATATTTTTTTCATTATCTATAATTGGCATTACAACAGTAATTAACTATTCTGGATCCAACCAGGAATACAGTAAATGTACCATGTAAACAGAAGTGTGCAGCTGGTGTACAGCACCAGTCTTAAAACTTTTGAGTACACATTTTTATTTTGGAAAATTGAATATTTCAAAATGAAATACATTTTTTTGTGAATGAAGAATTGATTTGATTGGAGTTCAAAAACATTACAGATTCATTAGACAAGAATTTGTACCATATGATTTTGAAAATAAAAAATAAGTGGACACATGACATGGTGTTATTGTGCATGTTTTCTTTTCCTAATTGTATTATCTATCATCTTGAAAATCAAATTGATCATTTTTTTTTCCTCCTTTAGGACTCCCTGAAGTCTAATCAACTGAACAGGCTTTACACCACAATCACAGAATTTATGGTAAGTATCAGACGGATTCAGAATTAGCAGAGTATATTAGCAGAGGGTGTTTTTTCACCAACAGTAAAGATGCTTTTGGAGGTGTGAATAGTGCTTAAAACTTTGAGAACAAACATTTTTAATACATCTGTGAAATATTGAGGTACTGTATACTGTAGGTTTGATCCTTTTGTAGTATCTTTGTGCTTAACTAAACTTTAAAATTTTTAAATATGAAAAATATTAGGTTTCCTAAACCCAACATATGGTATAATAATAATAATTATTATTCTTATTATAATTGCTTACACTTTTCTGGAAACTCCACTCAAAGCGCTTTACAGGTAATGGGGACTGCCCTCCACCACCACTTGGATGATGCGAAGGCAGCCATAGTGCGCCAGAACGCTCACCACACATCAGCTATTAGAAGGGAGGAGAGCAGAGTAATTAAGCCACTTCATAGATGGGGATTATAAGGAGGCCATGATTGGTAAGGGCCAATGGAAAATTTAGCCAGGACGCCGGAGTTACACCCCTACTCTTTTCGAGAAACGCCCTGGGATTTTTAATGACCACAGAGAGTCAGGCCTTTTTACAGTATAGTGTCCCTGTCACTATAGTGGGGCATTAGGACCTACATGGACCGCAGGGTGAGCGCCCCCTGCTGGCCCCACTAACACCTCTTCCAGCAGCAACCTTAGGTTTTTCCAGGAGGTCTCCCATCCAGGTACTGTCCAGGCTCACAACTGCTTAGCCTCAGTGGGTTGCCAGTTGTGAGCTGCAGGGTGATATTGCTGCTGATAACAATTGAGGTATTGTTATCATAAGCTCCAGTCTCTTACAGTGTCTTGTGTTGTAGGAAGAGCAAGACTTGCAGAGCCAGTACATACAGCTAAATAACGCTCTGACTGATCTTAAATCAAAGCTTCAGGTAAGCCATTTGTTTTACAGTGCTGTTTGTCATACACTGACAGGATGTACTGTATTTAAGACACAGTTTATGCTGTACTATCCATTACAAACAGATGTTTAGCCTAATTTAGTATAAGTGAGCTAATAAATCATGAGAACATGTTTTGTTTTTGTTTCTGTTAAAGTCAGCGGTATATTGGTTCAACTGAGGTTACACAACTGAACATTTTGTATCAGGTGACAACATTTATGACAACATGTTGTGATTTGCGTTGAGTTAAGTATGGCGATTTTATTTTCCTTTTTCTGGTTTGTGGTCTAAATATAGTTGTTTCCTTCAGGCTGGTGATATTGTCTTCATAGAGGACATGTTGCAGTTGAAAAAGGAAGCTGTTCTTGATCCTTCCAGGAATAAAGCTGTTCAGACCCCATCACTGACACAGTGCCTGAAAGAATCAATCTTCATTGCCAGTAGGTTATTAACAAGTCTTAACCCTACCTACTGTATATAGCCTATATGCCCAAAATGAAAACTTCTAAGGATAAGTTTAAGTGTAAGCTTAATGTAAAAGCTGAAATACAGTATGCTGATTTCATGCAGTATTCTGACCTTTGTGTTTAATATTTAGTAGAAACACATCTGGTGTCAATTACAGCCACACGTCTTTTTGGATCAGTCTCTATCAACTCTGCACACCAGCTTGGTGCAGTTTTCATGTTTCTTGTGGCAAGGTCTCACAAGTTGCTTGGGGATTGCTTTTGGACTGCAGTTTTAAATCCTATTGAGAATCTATGGAAAGTAGTCTAGGCTTTGACTGGACATTCAAGGATATTCACTTTCCTTTTCTTAAGCCTTATTCTGTGTATCACAGTCCTCTGGAAAGGTGAATATTTGCCTCAGTTTTAGGTCTTTGCTGTTACAAACCATATGCTGGTTTTCAGATTTTTTTTCAGTTCAATATGATCTCCCTATGTGGAGTGACCATGATATCGTTGATCCATGGATATATTTTCCCATTTTAGTAGCTGAACTATAACTATGACCCTGTCTGTGTGTCTGTGTCTCCTTGGAGAAAAGCTGGGGTATGCGAAAAGACGAATTCCTAATGCTAGAAATTGTATAGGGCTAATAAAGAAACATTAATATTAAACATTAACATTAACATTAACTCTAGTCTCCTTTGATGTAATGATGACTGTCTTAAGAAGTTTTCTCCATGCCTGGATGTTCAGTTAGGAATCACAGTGTCATCTACTGTAGGCATTGTCTGGGTGAATTCCAATTTTTAATGTTTGACTTCAACATGCTCAAAGAGATTTTATGTGTCCTTGAAATGTTTTTATACCCTTCTCCTGTTCTGCTGTATATATTTCCACACCTTATCCCTAAATTGTTTTGAAAGCTATTTTGTCTTCATGGTTGATATTTTATCTTACAATTTCACTACCTGACAGAGGGACCTTACAGAGACAGGCGTATTTATTCTGAAACCATGACAACCACTTTTATTACACTCAGACAGAGGCCACTCAACTAATTGTATGACTCCTTAAAGCGGCTAGTTCAGTACGTGTTTAGTTTTATGATGAAAATATGTACTTAAACTTAAAACATTACTCAAGCTTAAAACAAACCAGATTGATTATCCCCAGCTAATTTCAAGGCTGTTATTTATTTATTTTTTTATCGTTGCAGAATTGGTTCCTCAGCTAGGATCTTCATTTCAGTGCTCATGTGAACTCCTGGAGCAGTGGGTGTTTCCATTCCTGGATAATAACTCACGGGTCCTCATGGAAATCATGCAAGCTCTTCGTCAGGGAGACTTAGGCCAAGTACTTGATGAACACATTTAATTCTTCCTCATCAATTCTTACTTGATGCAGCCCAGTTTATTATATTATTTGTAATACAAATTCCAGTTTGAATGTCCTTTTCTGTTTTTTCATACTGTACATGTACAGTACGTGCAGCTCTCTACTCAAACCTACAGTATGTGTGTATGAGAATGTACAGTACTATATAAACACTGTATGTATGAGAATGTACTATATAAACACTGCATAGTATAAATGGATGATTATGTAAAGATTATATAAAGATTTGTAGCATAATGTTGAAAAATAATTTAATCCAACAAAGTTTACATTTAAGTCATTTATGTGCAAGTTTTGCATCTGCCAGCTTCCAAGAAAGGTTACAAATAACAGGAGGCTTTCTCTGACAAAGCTGGCTCTTACAGATTATTAGAGAATTACTGTATACTTCTTTAACTTCTGTTTTAGAGAAGGACATTTAAATACTTTGTTGCCAAAAGTTAAATTGTACACACATATTTTATTTAATAAAAATGATTGGATTTGGATAATACATTTTTTCTTTGAATTTCCTATAGGTCAAGTTGATAATGAGAGAGCCTGAGACCCAATCGGAGTTGTCTCACTTGTTTAAAACTGTTGCAGAGTATGAACTCACACTGCCTTCTAAGCTATGGATCCATAACCAGAGCCAGGATACAGAAGAGAGTCAACATGAAGGAGACAATTTTTTCTCAAAACATAAAGAAACAGTTGTAATTCACTCACAGCAAGGCCTTCTGAAGGTTATGGGCCACAAAACCCAGAATACCAATTTTATATCTCTAGTCACTAAAACCATAGATGTTGACTGTAGTACTGTGGATAATCACACTGTTCAGGAGTGTTCTCATATGTCAAGTCCTTTATTTACTACTGAATCCCCAGCTGAGGGAACTGAGTCCCTGAAAGGAACTACACTGAATTTAGAAGCTGATGCACAAGGTCTCCAGAAAAAGAAGGTGGAGTTGGAAAGCATTTTCTTTGAAAATGCTATGCAAAGACTGTCTGAAGATGAAGCCAAACTAAAATTTGGCATGTTTCAGAGACAGATGGTTCTGGAAGAACAGGAAACTTTGAAAGGAGAAAATGACCTGAAGTTGGAGACGTTAAAAAATAATTGGAGACAAGAAAACAAAGTCCTTGGAAAACGCAATGAGGAACTTCTTGAGCAAATTGTAAAACTAGAAAGGGAGCATGAGATCCAAATAGTGAAACTACACAAACAAATTTCACAGTACCAGGAGAATATTTCAAAGCTGAAGGAGGACAATCATAAATATTGCTGCACAATTCTGGAACTCCAGAAAAACAAAGAAGAAGGCTCAAAACTGATTCTTGAGCTACAGGAAAGCAGCAAGAAAATGTCTTCAGAGATCCTGATTTTTCAGGAGGAAAAAGTAAAACATCATCAGAATATGCTAAAGCTGGAAAATGAGAACAAACAGAATTTGCATCATTTTTTAGAGAGTCAAGAAAAGGTAGAAGAGCTTTTGAATTTTACTTCACAACTGAAAAAGGATCTAGAAGATAGTTCTGAAATAATCAAACAGTTGAAAGAAGAGAAAGACCAGCAACAGATTCTTAAAACAAAAGTGGAAGAAGAGAATTATCAGCACTCCCAGACTATTACAAACCTTGAAGAAAAGATAGAAAATTGGTCTAACATAACTGTACAGCTCAAAGAAGAACTGAAGGATACAACTGCAGAAAATGGTCTTTTGGAGACACAGATCCAAGCTTTATCACTCAAACTGGAAACCTTAACTGAAACAAATAATTGTCTTATCCATAAAATTAATGAGCAACAAGAAGATATCACAAAAGGTTCAAAGCTTATTTTGGAACTTCAAACTGAAAAAAGCAGGAGTTCTCAGGAGATAGCTGAATTGAAGAAAGTCATAAAGAACTCTGAGCAGGAATTTATGGTACTTAAAAATGAATGTGAGACGAGCGCCAAAAAATATTCAGATCTTCAAGAGGCACATGAACAGCTCACCGAGACTGTGGCTCTTCTTCAAGAAGAGAAAAGTAATCTGGAAAGAGAACTGGGAGTTATGAGAATAAAGGATGCCAATAACAAGATGGAATGGGAAAGTACAATTAATATCACGAGCGACAAAAATAAAGAGCTTTTAGAAAAAGTTTTAGTCCTGGAAAACCGTGAAAAACAAATGATTGTGAGAGAAGCGGGGATTAGGGAAGAAATGGACGTATTAAGAAGAGAAAATGAGATGCTTTTAAGAAACAACATGGATCAAAAGAAAGGAAATTTAGAACATCCTCAAAAGGAAAATGAGGGAAAAAATGAGGTAAAAATTAAATATGGGGTAAAAATAGAGAATGCCAGAACACAGGTAATGACTTACAGCTGCACAGTATACAGTATGTAGAAATTCAGGCAAAGCTATGGGTTCAGCTCAGGTTGGGCACTGCAACTAAACCCCTGAGAATAGTACTATACAGTACTTCCAGCTATATTTTAAATCCAGCTGTATAAATAGAAACAAATCTAAGTGCCTTTGTGAAAAAGTGTAAGCCAGGTAATTACATTCAGATCAACAGCAGCAGGGATACTTGGGATGCCGTTCTTAGATAAAAAAACCCCAATGAATTCAGTGAATGTAGGTAAAACGTACAGTATGTACTGTATCTTCTTGTTTTATCAATGTGTTTATATTTTGCATTAATAGTTCCCATTATGTTCAATTTCTATATAGAGAAACAATGGTAAGTAATATCTATCAGTGATAGATAATGCAGTCAAAAATGTAGCACAGTATTTAAGGCAGGCCAAATGTCCAATGATTTATATCAGCTTCATCAACTGACTATCACACTTCAGATTGTTTTAAGATTCTCCCATAAGCTTTATTGTTATCGTCTTGATCATCCTAAGCTTAAAATATAGAATAAAGGAACTTCCATATACCTGAAATGGTAACAGGGGTCTTTCAGATTGTGTTCAGTAGTCCAGCACTTCTTGAATGAAGCCAATATCTGTCTGTGATTTGGGAGGGAGGTGGGGGTTTTGAAAGGATAATGGATTTTCTGTGGCAACACTAATCCCTTTTTCAAAGCCTCTATTTGTTAGTTACTTACCTGTGTTTGGCATTTTGTTCATTTATGTAATTATTTATATTTATTCTTTTATATATGACATATATACATTTTAAAATAAGAAAAAAAGCCTTGTGCAGCTGTTGATACTGTGTATTGGTAGAAGCTGGTATTCTCAGTCAGAGGGCATCCCATTTTCCAGGCGAAGCCTAGTGTGAGTGAAGAAGACGCTGAGCTGCGAAAGGAGCTGGGACACATGGCAGTAGAGCTGAAGACTTCTCAGGAAGAGCTCAAAAAGGCAAAAACCGAGGTGTGCTGATTTCACTCTGAAGGGGAATTGTTAAAACTCCATTTCTTTACTTCTTCTTCTCCCAGAGAACCTGTTTTTTCCCCCTTATTTGTTTTTTCCCCCTGGGGGTGCATTGGATAGACACGTTGAAGTTGACTAAAATCTAAATATTTTTTACTGTTGCTGTCTGTCACTGTCCCAATTGTTTTAGGCACAGAAATGGTACAGAGACTTGGGTCTGGCGGAGTCTAAACGAGAGGAAGCAGTGAAGAACCTCTCCCAGGCTGTGAATGAAGTCAAAAGAATGAGAGAGTCTGTGAAAGAGGATGACATTTTGAGAAAAGAGAATGCAAAACTAAGGAAAGAGGTAATTAACTGTTGTGGTGTATTTTAGATAATATGCAATGTCAGTGGGATATAAAAATATGTCTGAAGGCCAATAGCTCCCTCTATTGAGTAGCACTTTAATAGCAGTATCGACAATAAGCATGCTCTATGTTAAGTACTGTACTATTTTTAAAAAATAGGTATAGGTAAGCAATCAGAATTGCAGTAGTCGTTTGTTATGATTTAAAATTGTTTCATTCTTTTTAAAATAAAAGGCCTTTGAGTGACGCCCATTCATCCATCTTCTAATCGCGTCTTCAAATTCAGGGTCACGGGGTGAGCCGGGGCCTATCCTGGCAAGCAACAGGTGCAAGGCAGGGACACCCTGGACGGCACACAGTCCATCACAGGGCAGACACACAGACACAAACACACATTCACTCACAACTACTGTAGTTCCAGTTTTCCCGCAATTAACCCGGGAGCATGTCTTGGGACAGAGCACCTCAGTTCAAGGAACTACTCAGTGCCAGATCCACCAGGCGTGGTTGACGGCCCTGTCTGGCCCATGTACATGAAACATAAAAAACTGTTGGAGAAAACCATACAAACTCCACACAGATAGCACGCCAGGTCTGGATTTAACTCAGGGACCCAGCAATGCTAACCACTGTGCCTGATATTTCATTTTCTATACAGTGTCATTTGAATAGAAACACAAACCAGAGAACACAAGTGAAAACTGCAGGGAAATACTGTACATTTAAAACTGAGAATAGGAGATTACGTCTTTAAACGAAGAGTTATGGTAGTATGGAACAGGTTGTCCAGCAATGTTACTGTACGTGTTACTGAAACCCTAGTTTCTTTCTAGAAAAGAGTCTTGCATTAGTTAGCTGCATTTATTGCTAAAAAGCCCACATGATTTGTAACCCTTCTTAACTTGTTCATACTTCTTCTTAAATTTGTCTCCATCTGTGATTCATGTTAACAGGGCTGTAAAAACAAAGAAAGTTATTATTCCCTGTGTAATGTTTCAGAATTTCAAGGCATTGGAAAACAGTAAATAATCATTGCATTGTGAAAACACTTAATGTACTGCAAACTGTTAATGACTCAATAACAAAAGATTTTTTTTTTCCAGATAAGTGAAATGAAAAAAAGAATGTCAGAAAGAGAGTCTGTACCAGTGGGTATTTTGGAATTGAAATCCCAGCTGGAAGACCCCACCAACATGGAAGTCCATTGTCATGAGCTCCAAACACCGCTACTACACCTACAGAGTCAGCTTGATATGAAGGTATTGATCATCATTCAACAGGCCCTTTCTGTCAAATCTCTGTGGGAATCTAACTCTGTTATTTAAAACTGTTAAATCAGCTTGTGTTTTTATAGCACAATATTTTTGGGAAAACAAGGTTTATTATGAATTTTTATTATGTAACAAAATAGAGTAAATAATATTTAGCTTAAATTCCCCAAACTAAAAAACATATTTTTTCAATTTTGTTTGGTATCAGTTTGGCTTTTAGTCTATCATTTGTAAATTGTTAATCCAGTCTTACAGTTTGCAAATGTTGTTATTGGACTTTTCAAATTCACAGTATCCTTATTTTCTCTTTAAAATAGTCTGCCCCTGAAAATGAACTTAACGCAGAGAACTCTGCCCTAAAGAAAGAGGTCAGTAAATCAGAAGACTGGGGTGAGACAGTAAAAATGCTAAAGTCTCGATACGAGGACATCAGAAACCAGGTATTTCAAACCGTAAGATTTATTTTGGGATCATATTACTAAACAAATGTATATTTTCTTTTAGTTTGTGTATTTGCATCTCACCAATACCATTTAAGATACCCTAAAAACAGTATTTTATACAGAAAATCTATGTGCGTTTTGCCTTATCTATGAATGGCAGTACAACAGCCTTATGTTGATAAATATACAATTCCTGCAGTATATATAAGTGGATAAGTGTTAACAATTTCTGTTGTAACTTATAAAATTAGTACATTGGTTTGTTTTGTAAGCAAATCAGTAAAAACAGATGTTAATAAAAAATAAACCTAATGTAAACATGCTGTCAGAGTAACAGGAGAGTCATAGATTGTAGCAAGGGGAATTATGCCCAGCAGTTGAAAGAGCTGAGCACATACAGTACAGTATACATATTAGTTCACACAAATTCCCCAAGTGATATTTTTAAAGCCTTTTAGATTCAGAAAAAATACTTTTTTAATACAAAATCTTGAAGTTTTTTATTGTTTTTATCACAGAAAAAAAAGTTTTTTTTTTTTATCAATCTAAGCCCTGATTGGGAATGTTTAAAGTTTTTTACTATTTATTTTATTTTATTTTTATTATAAGTAGAGCAAGAGTATTGTTTTTTGTTACAGTATTTTAACATATTTAACAAGTTGTAGTACCTGCATAAAGCAGTACAGACCACAACATCCTCTATTTTTTATAGTTTGATGAACTTTTAAGAAAGAAGACGGAAGCTGAATTAGATGTGGCTCCTTTAAAGGTACAGTATGATCACTTTGATGAGTGAATTAAACCTATTTCTCCTCATGGGCATTTGTAGTTTAGATCAGCAGTCTCTTTCCAGCCAACGTAATGTGTCATCCATTCAATCCAGTGAGTTAATGTAACCTGTAATTTACTTTAATAAGCAGCTTGTCCCACTAACTGTTCCTTTGATAATAATTAGAGAAGTGTACAGTATATCTTTCTTCAAATTGCTCATGTTTCTTTGGCAGTTCAAACTATCAGCAAAACTGTCATGATCCACATCGTCTTCAGGATTTCTTAAAAATAGTTCTAACAAAACAATCTTTAAAAAAAAATAGTTATCTGATGAGTCTGTATGTGGAAAATGAAAGGTTGGGTAAAGGTCACAGACATACAACTTCAGCATCTCTGTGAATAGCTGACAGACACCAGAGTTCAGTGAAGAGACTAGATGTGACAGACCACAGCTCTCCAGGGGTTATTTCTCCTGCAGATTATAATAGTCAGTAGATGGATATATTAAATTACCATTGAGTTGCTTGCTTAGTTGTACACTAATGCTTTTATGAAATAGTACAAGTTTAGAAAGGCTTGATTGTAGTGAGTTATACGTTCTTCTCTAGGTAACGCAAGAAGTGCTTTCAAGTATTAAGTAAGCCAATGATTTTGTGCATGGATTATTCATTATACTGTTACACCAGTTTTGCACGTTCACCATGTAAAATCATCAAGGTTGGATAGTGTACCTAACTGACCCTTTCAGACATTAATCATAAAACAGTGACTTGCCAATAACTCAACTTTCCCAATTCATGTTCTGCAAAAAAATGCTTAAATGATGAGATGAAAGGTGTGCTAATTACCAAAATAATCAACATTTCTCTTTTTTTTCCTGAACAGAAAAGACAGTTTTAACATGTTTTCCATTTTGTACTGCCTTTCCTTTCCCCCCTCCGTTTTGCCTTTCACGTTTTGAGCAAAAATAGAGATATTTTGGGGTTGTTGCTCTTGCTGACACACTCAATTGGCCACTGCTGTGTAGCAGTCGGGTGGATTCTTTGAATCACTGCCATGCTCAAGTTTGGGTTTCTCCTTTAATAGGCCAGACTTGCCTGTGTAGTCCAGAAATGTCAGGAGCGCAATAGCTTGATAATTCAGCTGGTGAGGGCACTGCGCAGGCACGGCTTCATTGACTTCAATGTGATCGAGGAAGCTGAAGACCTGGTGAATGACACTGCCCTGATGGAGTATTCAGGCACCTACCGTCTTTCACACAGCAGTCAGGTAATGACAGAAGCAGTGACCACTCTTTACCCAGACTAGGGAGATAAAGTTAAGTTATATTACAGCAGTCATTAGCTTTTCATATAATGAGCTTACTTACAGTACATCTTCCATTTAGAAACCATTTGTTTTCAATACCAACCACATACATTACAAATTGAGGGCTGATTTAAAATTTAGTAATCTACAGTATATATATTTCCTTACTTAAAATGAATGAATTATGTTGTATTTTGATATACACTAACAGATTTATGGGCTGTTGTCTGTGTGTACTGTAATAAAGCACTGCTGTAGAAAGATACTGCAGATAACGACCTTGAATTGGGGTCAGTTACAATGCTAGGTAACTTGCTCCTTTTTTTATGTTGCTGCCAAGTTTCTTTGAAACCTCTTAACCAGCAGAAGTGTTTCCAAGCTCTAGGACATTGTTTTCTTTACATGTGAGTTTCAGTATGATCTGCAAAATGAATGATTGCTTTATTTTTACCTTTTTGTAGCCCAACCTTGTCAGATCTCGAAAGTTAACCAAGGTTCGGCCTGGTCAGTAATGAGAAAACCAGATTACTTCTGCAAGTGATTCTGGTAGATCCATTAGGTAGTGCTCTTCTCTCTGGAGCGCAATTTCCAAACCAAATCAGTATAGTGGGGCCACTGGCACATGAAGGGTGGGTGTTGCACTTGATGGATAAAGTGGTTCCCCTCCTATATGTGAAATGCAGTAAAAATAATAATAATAATTTTGTTACTGTCTCCTGTCTACTGATAGCAGTGCAGTGATACTGTTTTGATGTACGTTTGTAGACTTCATTCTAAAATGTTACAGTGCCAAACAGAAACAATATTTCTGAGCCAAGCTGAAGGACAACTACAATGTATTTAAGAAGTTAATCAGCCTTTTAGACCAACTTGGAGATACAATTTAGCTCTCCTTTTTTGTCATTGAAGAAGAAAATAAAGGCATGCTTTTGTATTTTCTAGTTGTGAACCTCCAATTTAGGATTCACAATTACTGTTGTTCTACCCTCCCAGTTTGCACTAGCCAGTTGTTTGTTTTTCAATCAGCCTGTAGCTTCAAAGTCACTCCCGGGGGGGGGGGGTTGAGAGAGTATAGACTCCCCCAATCTGTCCTTGTCCAAGCTACTTGCCTTTTAAAATGTCAGAGACATTACAGCTCAATACAGCTCAGTGTTGATTGGAGGAGAGGAGCACTCATGGCTGACAACACAAGTGCCTGCAAGCGTGTGGAAGGCTGCAGGGGTCACTGTCACTGAGAGCTGATCGAGCTCTGGCTGACGATTCCTGCCCCACCAGGGAATCCTGCTCACAGCTGGCTAGTGACACGACCCAAGCTCACATGTGCCACCTGTGTTAGAGCATCCTTACCAGCTGAACGTCTTTTACTGCTGTCTTTAACACTGAAAGGAGACAGTAGAAGAATTTGGCTTTGATTTTGTTTGGTGGAATATAAAAAATCAAGTGCAGCATTTACAGTTACTGATACATTGTTTGATGAATATAAGATTTCAATCTTTTTTTGTAGCACACCTTTGAAAATTGGTGTAAAACCTACGTTTTATTTGATCTCCATTTGTTTCAGGGTTTTTATAAGGATATATGGGGACAGGAGACGCAAACAGATGAAGAAGGCAAGTATGCAACACACATATTTTGTATAGGATAAAAACTTGTTCTTTCATTACTTTTTCAAAGTCCCAGATACTAAAATAGCATCCATGAAGACTGGTAGAAAGTCAAAATCCTGTGTGTTTTGTAGACATGAAAAAGAAATGCTGCCTTTGGGGTGAAGTACAGCGTGCTATGTTCAGGGACCGTGGACAAGTGACGTTCATCTTCTTCTGAGCCCAGAGCAAAGTAGTGTTGGTAATGAGGGGCTGCAACACCTCTTTGTGTTCTAGGGCCCCTGCAGAGCTCCTTGTCCAGCGGCAGAGGGAGCCTCCCAGATCTCGATGGGTCTCTCAGCTTCCGCTCCTGTGTAGCCACAGCTGATTACTCTCCATCCCCTGACATGCCGAGCACAGTGCTGCCCACTGTAAGTCTTGTTCTAGAATGGAGCACAGGTCTAGGGCACTTTTAACATTTCCCCTCGAGGAATGACGGCTTTCAATTTGTTTTCATTTTTCGCTCATTTTAATGGAAAGGGCTTTGTACAGTTTTTGAACAAACCACTTTTTTTTTTTGCTTTTGCTTTGTTCTAGATCCAATATGCTGATTCACAGTGTTGATTATTTTCTCCTGTGTATGTTATAACACTCTGTATAATACATTTAAAGACATTTAGGATTGGCAATTATTTTAAACATAGTGGACATTTGTTAATTGTGATTCTCTTGATTAGCTGCTGCTGTCCCTAATTAATCTGAGAAAACTACTGCATATACATCCGCTACATTATGTCATGCCTTCACTTCAGCCTTTTCTATTTTTGCTGTGAACAGAAACAGAGAAACTACAGTAGGTGTAAATATTCACCGTTTTTTCTGATACTATTCACTCCCTCAAGAACATGGAATATACAGGAGATGTGAAATAGAGTTATATGCTGGGCTACAGTATGCATGTGCTGTACATAGTACATTACTTTAAAGCATTTTGTGCAAGTCCTTCTACGGTATATGTCAATTAATGCATTGATTTAACTTCTTCTGCAGTTAGAAGAACTAAACCTCATGTATCTGAAAACGAGCTTCCAAATCAGACCTGCAGGGGAGCTGGAGCCTATCCTGGCAAGCAATAGGCACAAGGCAGGGTACACCCTGAACAGAATACCAGTCTGTCGCTGGGCAGACACAGATACCAACACAGACATACAGTACACACACTCACAGCAGGGCCAATTTTCCCAGAAGCCAATTAACTTACCAATACAGTATGTTTTTGGAGTGTTATTCCACATACTGTACAAATACAAAGGGCACATACAAATGCCATAAAAAATACAAAAATGTTACAGTATACAATACTGTATAGTAAGTAAAAAACTTTTCTTATTAATGCACTTATTTCTTTCAGTTTCAGTGATGCTATTATGAGATAATAACACATGCCACAGATAGGATTGAGAGAACAGAAACAATGTGTTGGTTCTACAGCATGGTTTCTAACAGCAAATGAAATGGGGTATCATGCAGCAGATAGGATGTGTATCTTTTGCCAGACCGTACATTATCTAAATTGACTTGTTAAATAATACAATGCAAATTCATTAGGAAGCGGCTTGACTTCCCAGGTGTGTTGTTTAAAAGATACAGTATGTCAATCCTAATGCAAAGCTGTACTGAGGGTCTTTTTTTTACTTTTTACTTATACTTTTCCCATTGTTAGAGTAGGGAGGTTATTCAGTTCTCATTGAGACAAATTCATTTTGCAGTTGGTGGTACTTTTCCTAAATTCTAAAATAAATGATAGGCATTTCTCCAGCAGTAAGGCTAAGGGGATCATTTTAAGAAAAGGCCTTTGTAATGATTAATATATTATCAGTTATCTTTCATATATGTCGCATTGTAACTGACATATCTGATTTTATGCAGTGAGATGTTTACTGAAAGAACTACAGCATTTTAAAATAATGAGTTATCATTACTTCAGGTTAATTTAATCTGCTTCAGAAATAAAATATGTATTTTATTTAGTCAAATAGCTCATAAATTCTCATAAAATCATTGCATACCACTATAAATTATTAATTCCTAGCTTAGAAATCACCATTTATAGCATACTGTGAAAAAAAAAACTGTTTCCATTTTTTCAGTTGCCTCTGTCTGCTGGGGAAGTAGTTCAAGTCACTGGAGTTCCAGACAACCATGGGCTGTACCATGCAGAAGTAAAGGGAGAGGCGGGGCTTGTTCCTGCATGTCTTCTAGAAGAAACTGAGGACCTGCGCCAAGACCTGCACCCCTCTGATAAACAATGTACTGGTCCAGTCCCAGGGTTAACCAGTCCTGAGAGGATCATTCAGCTATATCAGCAAATGCAGCAAGCACACTGCAGCAATTACCAGGTTAACACTTATACTACTCAGACTCTTCATTCATTAAAATGAATATATTATTCCAGTGGTCTTTACAGGATAACTATTAAATGATTTCCGGTTTAATCTTAATTCACAACTGTCTTTCACATTTGTTTTGCATGTATTCAGAAATGTCAAGTTTATAATGGGAAATTCCTGAATAGTAGTTTATAGAATGCCTAAGATCTAGATTTCTTTCAAGGGTGAGGAAAATGTAATGAAAATAAAAAATACAGCATTATATTGCGTGCAGTCTTCTGTAATCGACTGTAAATTCTGTAGGTAAAAATATGAACTAGATAACTAGATTTTATTTCCTGTTTAGTCTTCATTTACAACAGTCTTTCACACTTGTTCTGCATATATTAAGAAATTTCAAGTTTATAATGGGAACTTCCTGAATAGTAGTTTATAGAATGACTACCAATTGAGATTTCTTTCAAGGGTGAGGAAAATGTCATTAAAATGAAAATGAAAAAAAAGAGATTTTGATATTGCATGTAGTCTTCTGTGATCTACTGTAAATTCCATAGTTAAAAACATTACCTTAGTTTGAAATAAAATCTCCTAGAAATCTGCTTTTAAAACCCAAAGTGCACAAATGCACTTATTTCAAAATCGGGAAATGTGCCAAGTATTCTCTATAAAAGTGACTGCGAATTGGTTTATCCATGTCCAAGATAACTGACCTACAGTATCTGGAGTTTAGCAGCACTGTGCTGTGCTGTTTTTGTATCCGGAAGTAATTATTTATCAAACTGGCCCCAGGCTTCAGGGAAGCTTTCTCATGTAAGTCAAAGAACTCAAATAGACCCATTGCTCTGTTTTGAAGCCCTGGTGGGATGCAGGTGTAGGAAGAGGTCCAATGGTTAAGTTAATGTCTCATGAAGGTCACCTGATCACAAATCAGAACATGGCCCCGCAGGGATAAATCTCACTGGCATACTACATGATCATTTTGGTCCTTTGTACGAGGACATATTGTCATACCCAATGGGACATCCCAGGGCTTTGCATTTCTGCTAATTAAAATGCTCCCTGGTTTATCCCAGACTCCTTCTGTGATCCCATTTTAGGTAGTTTCATCGGTCACGTCTGATTCCAACCCCGAGACAGACCGCAGTCTGCTTTCAACTCCCTGTCTGGTCCAGGGTGGACGTCCCAGACTATTCAAATCACAGCCGGAAAATGAGGCAGAGGTCGCTGGTAGGCCCAGTAATGTCCAGGGAAAAGATGCCGGGGAGCAGATGAAGAGAGGTACCAGCCAAGCAAGGCGAGACGCAGGAGTCATACTGAATAACACATGGCTCTCTAGGGATGATGCAAATTGTTGTGCCTCAGCAGCTGCAGCAAGGAGCCATTTGTCAGAGCTGTCACTACTGAACAGCCAGGAGCAAAATGTCAAGGGGATCATCTCCAATAGCCTATTTCCAGAACAGAGATCAATAAGAGCCAAGCTAGGTAAAGGCATCCTTATGTTTGATCTATCTTTGAATTCAGCAGGGGATCTTTTAAAATCCCTCTTAGGACTTAAATATTTGCATTTTATATGTTATTGTTATTGACTTATTTGTGAATGGTACTGAATGTGATTAAAGCAGAGGATAAGGGCATTTAAAGGATTCAGTTATTAAATTACTACAAAGAAAGTTAAGATTGAAATTCTTAAAATTCAAAATTTAAAAGACACTAACTTGTATGCTGGTTATACTACTTATTTTATTTTTCAGTTTATTTCAAACTAAGATATTGTATGAATTTGAATACTAGATAAATATATTGTATCAAGACTGTGTGGCATGGTTGTTGTGTAATAAGGTTTTATTTGACTTTATCTTAAATACAGCCACACATGAGAGGTGCACAGATGAACAGATACTGTATGCAGCATTTAAGTTCAATAGACTGTATCATGTGTGATTTCCTGTGATTTTTGGATTCTGGTAGGAAAAAGTTCCTACACTGTGTCTCGATGCCCTTGGTGCTCTGCACTACCCTGGAGCATTGTGTCCTCAGTCTGGTTTAGGCTGATTTGCCTAGACATCACTTGAGTGATATAAGAAGGACTTCAGCAATTTCCAGAGACATCCATATTTTCAGTGCACCTTGTCAGATTCTATCAGAAGATAATACATGAAACAGCAATTTCAAAGCATACCACGGGCTTCATTGAAGAGTAACGATCTTTCTTGTTCCAAATACATTTAATAAAAAAAGAAAAACATTTAAGTTAATCCAAAAAGATATTATATTAACTCCTTTCTTAGTTAATTAAGGGACTGCTGTACACAGCTAAACAATGCAGTTGAAAATGAGATAATTTCAGTGTCTTTTCTGAACGATCGATGCAAACCAGGAATTAGAACTTTGAATTGCCTCTGTGTGGGCATCATATAAACTACTGATTATTAAATCAAGAATGATTGCACTGGGAAAGCTAGACTTAATAATGGTTGTGGCAACATGTTCCCAATCGGTTTAATCTGGTCTGAAGAACCTAGTGTTTTTATTTTTCAAAATCAATAGCTTCCCATGTGTGTTGTGGTTGTAACTATAAAATAGCTAAATATAATCGATCCAAGTATTATTTGCAGCAGCAATAAAAAGGTGCAAACAAAAGGTACAATTGGAGTTAACTGGTTTTAAAGTAATTACTATAATAGGAGGAAAATAAGTATAACAATTCATAATTGCCTAGAATATTACGTGTGCTTAAATGAACCATTGTTTATGGTATATTAAAAAGTGAGAGCAAAAAAACATGAATGCCTTGCAGCAAAGCTCTGCACAGTTAAAGAAATGTCAGGAATTTAATCCGTGTGAAATAAATACTGTACTGTTGTTAGGAAACATTTGCATCACAAATGAGTCAGATTATTATGATTGAACTATGGCAGCAATACCACATGAGGAGCACATCAGTATACATTTTTTTAATGCAAAGACTAATTTTCAGAGACAGTCACTGCTAGTTACAAAATGATTAGTGTCAGTATTAATTTTTGAGATATTCCTAATTCTTAATTCTTTATGAAGAAACACCAGTTTTCCGATTAAAAGTGGTATTGTTTGTATGCTCTAACAAATGATTATAAGTAATTATATAATTATAATTATAGTAATTATTATACAATTATATGTACGTATATGGTAACTTTCCCCTCCTACCCATTGTTGGACAGGGCTGCTGCAACCTCATCTTTAACCCTGTCTTCCCTGCTTCTGCTTCCTCAGCATCACCCTAAATGAGGAGGATCTCTATACAGGGTGATGTAGAGGAATAGATAAGATCAATCTAATCTAATTTTTAAAAAATGGTGATTTGACAACATAGGCAACGTGTTATTGGTTGTAAGTGGAAACCAAGAAAGTGATTTCATATTGATCACTGTCACTGTCAGTGATTAATGAGCTTGCAGATCATTTTGGTTTTGATGAAAACCCTGCATGCTTGCTAACAGCCCTGCAGGAGTGGCGAAGGGGGTAGTGAGGTCAGAAGTAGGCTAGGAAGGAATTTAAGAAAAAAACCTGAGATCTACAGTACCTTGTATCTTTGATTCAAAATGGGGAAATATTTGGTTAGCATTATACAGACAAACCCTTTTTTTACAACGTACCGCATTCTTTAATGTTACCTTAAGAGCAAAGTTTTTCCTGATTATACTTTTTATATGTAATTTTTATTCAGTTCTCTTTCTGTGTTCGTGTTTTTTAAAGCATTTGTTTTGGTATCTGATATATTTTATGTCTCACCACAGAACAGGGTAAACTGTGAAATCAAAGTTGACATTTTTCTGAATTTTCCAGATGCAAATGACAAAGTCAGAGATGGGCAACCCTGGTTCTCTAGTGCAGTGATCCTTCCTGTTTTAGAGGCACCTTTCATTTAGCACTTGGAAAGCACAACTGACTGATTAGTTCATTTAATGCACCCTTTAGGTTGGGATCTATTTGAGATCCTATTTTTTCTAAATATAGTGCTGATATATCATTATATATTGTATTGTAACTATTTCTGAACTACACAGAAAGGAAGGAGGTAATGGTGTAAAAGGAAGTATAAGCAGGAAAAATATTGCTCTTAAGGTAACATTAAAAAATGCAGTATGTAGTTATGAAGGTGCAGTTTGTAACACTAGCTTGAAAAGAAGAGCATCTGCTGTTTCTACTGTATCTGTATTAATGAAATTCATCAGTCTTGTGGAGCTGATAGAGACCTGTGTTAAAGATACATAGCTGAAACTGCAGCCAAAGGTGTTTCCAGCTACTGATGTACTGTATTAGGAGCCTGAAAACCAATGGAGTCAAAAAATGTGAATGTACAGAATACTGTATATAGTTTTTTTTTTCTTTGTACAAGATGTTTATATTAAGTTTCTAGTCACATACAGTATAACAATATTCGGTTTGATCACTACAGTTTTTATTTGAAAAAAATATATAAGCAATATTTGCTGTCAAATGTGATTGGTGGAGGGTGAAAACATTTAGAAAGCACTGTATCTTAAACTGTTTTCAATTACCACAGCTTGTCCATCTTGTTGTGTTTCAGAAAGCATTTCTGCAAGAGGTGCTAATGAAATTCCTCATCAGTTTACATAATGAGTGTGAGCTTTATTTCTATGGTGAACCAGTGTAGCCATTGGCACAGCTAAAAGTGTTTCACTTTCTGCATTTAATTATAATAGCACCCATGACTTAAAACATTCTAAAAACACAAAATAAAATTGTCATTTGAAGGATTTCTATGTGGGATAACAGCAAGACACTAAAATACTAGAATAGATATTGTACATTATGTGAATGAAATGAAGTGATAATGTTGACTGCACCACTATATGCTCCTTAATATTTCAGGAGGTATAGATAGAATGCCCTAACCATTTTATTTTAAATTCCCAATTCTTTGACTTTATTAGGATATTTATTTTATTTGTTTCCCCCAGAACCCCCTTCACCAGTTGGCTCGCTTCAGATTGTGAAGACTGTGGGTCAAAGCAGCCTCATGATTGGCTGGGACAGACCCCCACTGGATGAGCTGGGCTGTAGCAATGGCACTTTTGTTTATGGTTACCGGGTATGATTTATTTACTTGTTGCCTTAGATTTTGGTTGCCAAGAATAGCAATATCGACCTACATAATCTTGGCCTGCTATGTTTAATGTTATACATTCCATAGAAAAGAATTGCAAAGTGTTCTTGATAGAATGTTCTGGGTGACTTCAATTTTCGATGGGTTTGGGAAGTGTCTCAAATGCTTTTTCCAGGGGAAGGGGGTGGGTGGGGTCCTCTGTTGATTGGAGCAATAGGATCAACACCAGGATCAAGGGTTCAATGGCCTTCCGTTCCCATGGCAATGAATCACTGCCCTATCCCATTTCCATGCCGTATCCATGGAGACCAAAATATTTTATTATATATATACTGTGCTCTGCCCTCTTTATTTCCCTCCTGAATTACCATAGGGAACACTTTGTGCCAATAACTGGCTCATCCACCTGTGAGTGTAGCTGCTGCCTCTCTTTCTAAAAATACTGCTCATCACTCCTGATTAGGAAGTAGTGCTGGAAATACCAGCCGAAAGATACACCATCACCATAATCAATGTGTCTTTCCTCCAGTTATTCATTCGTTTAAAATGAATCCTTAGATCATCATGTCCAAAAAGAATCCCACCCCCCACACACACACACTTACTATTAATGTCTTTCTTCTACAGTAGATAGAGTGCAGCTTCAAGATGATCTAGGGTTTGGCTCTGAAACCAGGACAGCAGTTTCTTCCTCACATAAAATCTACAGTATTTATACCCGTTGTCACTTGCTATTTCAACTAGTTACACCAGTGGTTTTGTTCTTCCTCTATTATTTATAATACTTTGATCTACTATACATTTGTGGAAGACAAAGCTTATAACATTTCTGTTTAGTCGAAGTATACAACAGTTCTCATGAGAAAGATGTCAGCACCCCCCCCCCCCCTTTCCATTTTTACCCACCAAAATTAACACAGGATTATGGTTAGCTTTGGGTTCAGAAATGGATGGAGTGATGTTCATTTGAAAATGAAACTGCATCTCACAGTGACAGCTAAGGTAGGCCATTGTTCTTGTCCAGTGTCAAAGCGAGAAACAGTGATGGGACTTTGATAGCTTTGAATAATTAATTACACACTCACAGTATATTTCTACAGTATGCTATAAAGAATGCCATTTTTAATTATAGATCTATGTTGATGGGGAATTCCACAAATCAGTGATGAGTGCAGCTTGTACTAAGGTAAGACATTTGCAGCAGTGTTGCTACATTGTCTATTGTTTCTGCCTTCCTGAAGTGCTTAAAATGGAAGAGTAGCTGGTCTTATCAGTTATGTGTTTGAACTTCCACGTAAAGGTTGGTAAAAAGAAGCTTGAGGTTAATTGCAGCTCTGATCCATATTAGAGCAGCGGCATTTAAAATAATATAAACACTTGACTCCTTTCTAAACTCTTACAATGTACAGTTTGCATAATCTCTAAGCTCCACTGTTGGTAGTTGATTGCTATTATTACGGAGCTTATACTGTATGTTTCCATCCAACTCCATTTTCATTTGAAGTATGGAATGTGCAAAGTCTAGTGCAGACATACATACTGAAGGGCCGAATGATATGCTTTATAAAGGGAAAAGGAAAAGTATATTTTTTAATAAAAATTACATCTGACAGTGGTGATAAAATACGAATATGATACATTTGGTAAACAAAAAACATCACTATAGCGCTTTCATTATATAGGTTTGTTAGCTGTACATTATATAATCTTAATTTATTAGTGTTATATTTATCTTTTTACATTTAGTGAAATAAAAAACTCAATTGAAATGCTCTGATTACCACATTCCATAATGGGAATACAATACAAGAGTCATCTTACAGTAGGTGCTGTGCTAAAATAGACCAGTCACACAAGGTCTGTAATAATGAAACCAACACAATAGAAAGCATGACATAGAGGCACTGATGGACCAGTTGCACAGCTTCATTTGAATAAAATAAAACTAAACTCATTTTCTCTTTATATGGAAGGATCCCAGTTCTTGGAAAATACCTGTGCTGTTGGTATTTCTTAGATGCTAATGACTGTTGTTTGTAATTGTAAAGAACATTTTGACACTGTTCTCACACCGGACCTCCATTTATCAATGCTTCTTTCAGGCAGTGTTGGAAAATGTTGACCTGTCAGTGCCATTTCAAATCAGTGTCCAGACACTGGGGGCCAATGGGCTGTTTGCTGAGAAGGTCCATATTCTCTTCCAGAGCTCTGACTCGCCTGCTGGCGCAGAGCTGTCCTCTCGCGACCTCAGGACTTCTCACACACACAAGCCCAGCAGGACTCAGACGGTGAGTCTACCATGGGCTGCAGCCAGGGCTAGAAGTCTCAGGATAGAAACCTCAGATCTCTTTTGGTCTTTTGATTTCTTAAGTATTTTTACATTTTTAAGTTGTGTATGTATGTTCAGAAAAATGCTGGCAGTAATAGTGTATTATTAGAATATGTCTGGTGCATTAATGCATTAAACCCTAAATCCTGCTTTTTTCATTGTGCAATTGAAAGCTGTGATAAGAAGTCTCAGAACTAAATGTCTGTTTCTAAATAAGCCGTGATCAATTACCATTTGAAATATTAACACATCCCTAGCCTTCGATGGTTTTGTATAATACCCACGATGACGGTAAAATCGAATAAATTTAGAGTGAAGAAATTTCCTTGGCTTAAAATGTTTATTATCTTGTCTTTTATGGTCATTTGCTTCATCAAGGTCAGCATAATCCCAGTATAGTAGCTTTTCAAATGTCTCATGGTATATCATTAATGATGACCAAATTCACGGGAAAGGGGGCTGTGAAAAATTATTGCCCCGTGGTATACTCATATCTATTATTTTCTTTAAAGCGCCATCCAAAACATCCAAACGTCTTTTTCTTGTTTTTTTTCTCTCCTGGTTATGCTTCAACTTACTTTGACTGTATTATATTTTTATTAACATTGTATTAAAGCAGGTGAGGGGCTAGGGTTAAGAGAGAAATATCTAAAAAGTAAATTTATACTAAAAGATGAAAGATTGCACTTTAAATTGAACGAGTTGTTTTCAAATGGAAATATAAGGATGAATGTACAGTACGTGGCTCCCAATCATGAATAAAGCTATTGTTGCTTTGTGACATACAGTAAATTACATAAATGTGACACCCCCCAAAAAATAGAAAAAAATAAATAGATCTTAAATAGATCATAGTACCCTTGACCCTTAAAAGCAAAAATGCTTTTTGAAAACATGCTACGTACTGTATATATAGTGATTTCTTGAAGTATTGCGGTGTTTGTAAACAGCACATAATTCACATGAACAATAGAATTAGGTCTAGACACTGAGTATATGAAGTCTCTGCTAAAGTGTTAAGTTGCAAATGCTTTAACAGGCCAACTCTTACCATCAGTGTGTAATACACTGTACCCTTGTACCCTTACTAGTTAGCCTAATCGTTACCCATCAAAGTTAGTTTTTCACACTCTCAATCCTTCAACATTAATCTTAGATGTGTTGAACAATTTATCGAGGCAGCTGGGCCAATGATTCCTAGCTGCGTTGCCCTTGTTCAATGATTGTACAAAAAAATCCTCCATCTGTTTCTGCACAGTGGTACTGTATGCACCCATCAGGAACACTTTTTCCATGTATTAAAAACTACCCAGGCTCATGTGTGCCCCAATCATTAAAGACGTTTGTTTGGTAAGTGTCATTAGCTGACTGTGTCAATTATTCTATTTTGGCTTTTATGAGCTACACTCCTCTAGAGTATCCTCTACAATGGTGATATAAGATAAGATAAGATCACTTTATTTGCCATATACGATTTATTGCATTAGGAATTTGTCTTTTCGCATACCCCAGCTTGCTCTACATGAAACACACAGACAGGGAGAGAAAAGCTTAGGGTCAGAGCACAGGGTCAGCCATTTATACAGCGTTCCTGGAACAGCTGGGGTTAAGGGCCTTGTTCAGGGGCCCAACAGAGTAGGATTAATCTGCCAGCTGCAGGATTTGAACTGGCAACCTTCCAGCCACAGGCGCAGATCCTTAGCCACAGTGCCATTGCTCCACCCGGTGGTATCTGTATTTGTGGTGGTATCGTGCTGCTGGGTACCACTGAGCCCAGAATGAGGAGAATTGTCACTCTTCTAATAAATGCTATGAGGTCTTGAGCAGTCAGACATATTTGAGAGGAGGTAGCACCTCTTTTGTTGATATCTCCACCGATAAAAAGACAAGTAAAACAAATAGTGATATATTAAAAAAAACATCTGTTATTTAGTTTTTCCCTTTTGTATGGTTTGTGTGAAAAGGGGCCTTTTCTGTTTCCTCATTCTTAGGTATAAAACTTTTTTTGTTGGAAAGCAGTGATGAGACAATCCAGCAGAGGCACAAAAAGGATATTTAATTTGGCTTTTTATATGTAAAAATAAACATATGTCAAATAGTAAGGGTGAGAGAAATGAACAACTAAGGGTCATGGCATTTAAGAAAGAGAATAGGAGTGTTGCAGGAGCCATGATGATATTTCACTGGGATTGTTCAATAAAGAGCTAAATATACTGTACTAAAGTACTAGGATTAATTAGCTATTAGAAACAATAATGAGATACTGTACAAGGGCTACACAGGCTCCTCTAAATTGAAACTTTTCTTATGTTTTATATTATAACAACCCCAAGCTCCTTCACAGTGGACAACACTGGTACTGTACACAGTATGTGTAGTTTTGGGATTAATCCAAGGCTGGCTGTTTTGAGGAACTCATGTGAGGAAATGAACTGTGTATCTTTAAAAAGGTGTTAAATTGATCTATAATGTATTTTCTTTTAAAAATCAGATGTATTGTTGCTAATATACTGCTCAGTGCATTTGAAAGATGCAGCAGAAAGTACATTCTGAAATTGTAACAGCTTCAAACTTTATTCGCAGAACGTCAGTACACCCCATCAGTCGAAAACATTTTCTCAAGGTTCTGGTGTGAAGCCTACTAAGGTAGGTACAAACTGTAATTCTTGTAAATTATTGTTTATCTAGTGGAATAGAATGGATATATTCTGTGTAAATATCATATATTATATCTTTTTTTACACTTGGAATGTCATGCTTGGCCAGGTAAGGAGTTTCCCATTGTGAGACTGTCACCCTCTCAGGCTTCAGCCTATCCTGTTCTCCCTCTCGGCATGCAGAGTTAATAAATCCAATATTCATATTAATTTGTGTGTTGTATGACCACGGGACTGTGGTTATACTTTTCACTGTACTTTTTAATATAGCTTAATATTCACAATATTAACTTTCAAAGACAACAGAGCAACGGAGAAAACAGACATTTCAAAATTAAGTTTCCAAAGCTCAGTATTGGTTCGTGAATGACATTCTTGTAGACGGAAAGGAAGCACCACACAAGCTGCACCACAAACACGGTGAGGCACCATGTTAGTGAAATACCCAAAAAGCACAAAAATAGTGAAACACAGACACACATCAGATAAAATGAAAACTGGAAAAACAATGTTTCCACAGAAGTGGGCTTATGCCTGTCAACCAAATGAACTTATTGAGCTTTGCAATGATTCCAGAAAGCGTTTGCACATCATAACAGGGAGTGGGATCCTACCAACATGCTGAACCTTAAGTTCCATTTTATGTCAAAATTGACATAATTGAATCCATGCACAAGGAGTTCTTTTAATATAGTGATATTAAAAATATCGGGCCTTCAGAAGTGTTTTGCCATATGTTATGTCCCCCACAAATCTCTGACACCTCTTATTAATTTATATGATGGAACTTTAGGAGCACTTGAAGAGCACGGGGATATACAACAGTTGTTGTTTTTTTCTCCATCAAGGACACACTCCCCAAGAAAAAAAAAATCAATTTCTCTTCTTTTAAAAAAAAAAATGTCTCATTTCTCAGGTTTCTGCACTGCGAGGTCCCATAAGCCACGTGACACTCACAATACACAGCCTATACACAGTACACAACAAATCACAAGCTGTATAAACGTCCGTTTTCACTGGATGCTACACATAGAGAGCTTTTTTATAGAGACTTTTTTATCTTTCAGCCACTGATATAATGACTAAGTTGTAATCACGGCAAGTCTTTTGGTGGTGATGGACTAAATATAGTTATAAAGCAAGCTACATTTTCCGCCTGGCATCCTTTCTACCTTGTAGTCTGTCACCCGTTTTGAGATTCTAGAACTTTGCACTAGAATCCCCTGCCACAACTGGACATCATAGCAAAGAGGTTCAGTACTTGTTTCAGGATTAAACTGAAATCTCAGTGAGAGCTCGTACTTAAAAGACTAACTCCAAACTGCGGAAACTCCTTGTGTCCTGATTGTGGTTAGACCCCTTAATCATTTATGTGTTTGACTTTTAAAGGTGTTGGAACATTAATTAAGTTCATGAGTCGCATTCACATTTTTTTCAGAGTTTTTGCTTATTTGAATGACCTGCACATTCCCTCTGTATATGAATTGCAGTTTATCGCCATCTACAACTACAGTCCCCTGAAAGACAGCCCCAATATTCACCCCAGCCGAGAGCTAGGTTTCAGGGAAGGGGACACTGTGTGGGTGTTTGGAAAACCAAGGAGGGACGGCTTCTGTGAGGCAGAGGTACAGTATGAACACTTGGGGGACGTCTTTTCTGCTTTACATGTGTTCACTAGGATAGGCTTGCATAGTACGTTTAAAGCATATTGATTTTTTTTAATGCATGAGGATTTCTTAGCTTGGATTTTTTAGCTCGTCCAGAATATAGAACTTGTCCACTCTGTCCTGCTGAAACTATTTAATGTTAATTTACATTCTATCAAAATACTATAAATGTAAGTAAATAAAAATATACGTATTGCGTTCAAAGCTCAGAGCAAACAGACAGAAACCTGTAGATAGAGATACAGTATGTCATATTCTTGATGCCAGACCATGTATTGTTTAGCATTGAGCAACTTCTCCTTGTGAATATGATTTCCCTTATAAGGTGCATAAAGTTTATTTTGTGAAACTCGCTATATTTTAAACCTATGGTTGCCTTTTATATTTAATGAGTTTAAAGAAAACAATTTGCAGGACAGGGCATGATTTCCCCATCCTCTTATGAAGCAGCATTTTGCCCATTTTTCAATTGGGATCTCACAAGTTAGACAGACAACATGATTTTGTATCGCTTATTCTTTACTTTAACATTATTTTCTTGAAGTTTCAATCTTGTCTGTGTAACTCATATGAGCCATGTTTTGTTACTGGTGTGCACATCTTTGATAAGACTAAGAGATGTTCTCTAGATGGCAGGAATGCATATACAGTCGAATGTGATTTTTTCCCCCACTTTGTCTTTTTTTCTTCCTCTTACAATGACAGTCTTGTAGTGTAACTGGAAATGTACCAGCATCATTGTAAGTATGACAATATAGCGTAGCTGCTGAATTTCAGGACTGCCAGAATCGTTGCTGCTTTTCTGTACTCTGTTTTGGATCTTATAATTATACATTCAGACAGAATGTCCTCCTGTTCCTGCAACACAGGGGTGGCTTTATTTGTGCTCACTAGTCCATAGACAATTTGGGTTGTGAAGTGTTGCAAACCAGCTACAGTATATATATTAAATGACTTGTTAAGGTGCCCATAATGTGTAGAATTCAAAGAAGTAGCTCCCATGCAACTTTTCAGGAATGTGAGCAAGTTTTAAGTTATAACATCTTGATAGAGCACACCTCTATCATTTAAATCAGATGTTTCTGTTTGAAAATAAAAATGTTATTTTATTTATTTCCTTGTTTACTTCAGCACTATTTCAGATACCTTAAATAATATACATGATATTTATTGTATTTTTAAAAGAAATTCTGTGAGGAAATTAAATTTAGAAAACAAGCTCTCAGCAGAGCAAATTGTTGTTAATTGAAATATGTTTTACTACTTATAGGTATACAGTATACTAAAAACTAAAGGTGTAAAACACAAATAAATGCTCTGTTTCCAATACTTCCTGGTTACTGCATATATAAATGATATATTACAATTAAAATATAAATTAGAAAAATAATAATCACTCTTAGCGATATTGACCCTGTTTTGAAATTGACATTGATGGTAATTCCACCTTTAAGCCTCATGCCTTTAGCATAATCCTTAATCCATTATATGAAAGTGCACACAAAAAAGTATCAGTAATATCTAATTCATTTTATAAAAAATGCCACCTAGAGAAGAAATTGGAATGTGAATTATACCACATTGTTATGAGTATGTAAACTGTTATAACATTTCATCTGATAGTTTCTTATCACTGAGGTTCAGAAAGCTTTCTGAATTTCTATTTACATCTTAAAATTCCTTGGTCATCACATTACAGCTTTAAATTCATGCAGTGATGTTATTTAATTCATTTTTTCTTCCTCAACTGCATTGTAAAAGAATACTATTTTGTTCATATTCATGAAAAGTTTCTAAAATGTTTATACCATGTATGTTTAAGCATTCAATAGTGTACAGCAGGACAATGTAATCTTTTTGAATGTGACAGTCCAATAATGTAAAGTACATAATGTAAGTGAAAGAGTTCATAATATTGCCAACATGCCTTGGTACAGAGAGGAGTGCACAGGCATATTGCAGTTGTATCTTGTTGGGAAAACACATTGTTTTAACTTAATATATTCTTCTACAAAAGTATAAACAAGAAAATGGGCATTAAACCTCTTCTCATTTTTGCCATTTCATGTAATGCGATTATTTTTTAAAACTGAAGCATTACGTTTACTGCACCTTGCCTTTGAGTATGCATTTTATTATGACATGCAGAAGCTGACCTTGAAAAGAGCAAGTGTTAGATGCAAATCAATTTCTGTAAACACGTTCATTTTTGTGATCAAAGTAATACATACTGTATGAATTAGAAACCTGCTATTCATACTAATTAAGCAATTAACTGGATTGCTTTGCAAGTACAAGCCCTGCTTTTTATTTCTCTTCTAGGTCAATAGAAGGCGAGGTCTTGCACCAGCAGCGTTCCTTGAGAAAGTTAATGTGGGACTGCCGAGGGAGAAGAAGGAAAAAGCAGTAAGTATGCAGCATGTTTTATTTATAGGAAGGCGTCTGGAGCCTTTTTAAACACACAGGGAGCTAATGAACATGATCATGAGAGCCAGAATGTAGTGCAATCCTTAATTTAGTTACAAGAAAAAAAAAAGTGGGTTGTGGAATTAAAACCATGCATTATCTCTGATTTGAACAGCAACAGCTTTATTAATCATATTTTAGTTAAATGTATTGAATGCTAAATATGAAATGATTATTATTTATAACAATTCTCTTTGCTCACTTGTTTTATGTTTTCCTAAGAGAAACATTCTCAAATAATTCTAGTCTGTCAGTATGGATAATGTTACCACACAGTGTAAGATACAGCATGTTTTCACCCTCATTACATCCTGTAAGTAAGGATCGGTTGCTTAGAACATACTCCCACAGTGCACCATTACATTTTACTCGAAGAGGTCTATCCTGGGACCTGACCCCAGTTTCAAGATCAGTGTCTGTATCAGCAAATAAAGAAGCATTTCTGGATGACTGTCCTTGGCACCACAGAGGTTGTGATTTCAATGAATGATACCAAAATTGTTTCATTTTTTTAAGAAATAAGAAAGTAAAATGGAAAAAACAATTAGGAAAGTACTGTATATTTATAAAAAGGGATCCCGTTTAACAGTGTTTGAATCTGCCACTTTAGAGTCATTAACCTGTCTATGTGGGACTCTCTTCAACCATTTCGGTCAAATACATTATAAAGGTAGAAATGCTGCATTTGCTGAGTGTCTGGATTGACTTAGATGTTTTGGTACTTTTTGAGGAGAGAATCACATTTTTTTGTACAATTTATTAAAAAATGATGCAATGTACTGTTATATTTTTATCAACGTGGACTTCAAAGTGTAAGATAAGTTACAGTTTATGTTACCAAAATGAAAGAGAATACATAAGTATTTTCAACCTGTAAACTCAATATCTGGTGGAAACAGCTTTTTGGTTTCTCTACCAATTTGGCACACTGGCTTGGTGTAAGTTTAGCTAATTATTTTGGGCAGCTTTGCTCAAATTGGTTAAACTCTCCTTAAGCAGCTTCAGCCTTGTGCTTTGGGTTACTGTACTGCTGAACAGTGTGGAAAAACTTGTAAGAATTTTTTCCTTCTAATTTTTATTAGTTCTTCATTCCAACTATGTTGCCCTCGTGCCTGACAAGCTTCCCAGCCCAAGCTGATGAAAAGCACAACTAGAACATAATTCTGCCAGCATGCCTGACAGTAGGGATGGTGTTGGCTGGTGTTGTGTTGGGCCTTTCACAGTTGTAACACCATGCATTTAGCATTTACTCTGTGAGCTCCAAAATGTCTATACGAAAGTATCCTCACATCCTCTCCATGTCTATTTTGGATGGCATTAGCAAAATCACTAAATGCAAGGGAAGCAAGAATACAAAGGGACATACCCTAGTTCTTGATTAGGAATGGTGAAAAAATAAAAGGGCTGCTCTTTACAGTGTATGGGAAAGAATGTTCTATGGAGTTTTCATGAGCTGCTGTTTGAAAGCTGAAGGTTCTTGAAAGGCTGAGCAGCTGAGCCAGAGAAAAAAAAGAAAAATAGAAAACATGTAAAATAAATAATTTAACTGTCTGCCTCTTATATACAGTAGCTTCAATATAAAGAGTAGGTGTTTTTATTGGTGTCTACATGATAAAATGTGACTCCATAAACTTTAGAATTAAGTGTTTTAATCAGGATTTCGATTCAATTGTGTTGAATACTTTAATGTATAAATGTTGTGTTTTTGCCATGTTTCCAGTTCCTCTGAAGTGCCATGAGCTGCAGTGCTATAGCCACCAGCACAGAAGAGCAAGCCCCTGCCGAGAGGACAGTGTGAGCAGTCTGGCCTTCCAATCCAATTCACAGCAAATGACTTCAGAAGAAAGGGAATAGGTTCAATTTAAAAGTAACTCTTTGTGATTCATCGGAGCTCTGTGGTTTTGCATGGAATTCTACAAAGGCAGACAGTTTCCTTGGTTTAAAACACCAATGCCTGAATGCTTTAAAGATAAATATTTGAGAGACTGGAAGATGAGAAAATCAGTCACTTAACCGTCATTATCTAATTTAATTAATTTCGTTTTATCCTTGGGAAATACAGCAGATTCTTGACATTGTTGAAACCCGCCAAAATCCTGAACAGTAAATGCAAATATCCTGTATGTGGACATTCAAAGCATCCTTATTTTGGCCACACTGAACCCCAGGTTCACTTACAGTATGATTAGCTTGCATTAAGCACTAGGGTATATTTACTACTGTAGGTGCACAAGTGTATTTAATATAACATATGGATCATTACACATGAATGGTCTTCAAATAAGAACCTATACAGTAAATGCATCTGTGTGTGAAGTCCTTCATGCTGTTGTGAAGTAACTTAAATGTAACTTTAACTTAAAGGTTTGGGCTTGGCCTGTACATACAGTACTGTACAGTATCAATGTGCATAATCATGTAAACTGTTTATCATGCACAAACCTATGGTGCTAGTTACTAATCAGCAATGCTATAACCTAGGCCTGGTACCAAATTCTTGCCTTTCTCTTCAAATTTGATCTGTCTATACATTCCAAGTATTTTGGTGTATTCATCTCTTTTAAAGATGACCATGTTCTTGAAACTTTGAGGTTTGCTGTTTACCAAGCTATAAAACTGTTATGTATCTTATTGTGTATGTCATTTACTGTTTATTTCAGCAAATTCTTATAGTACTATTTGTTTTGTACTATTTATAACTGTTTATTAGAAATTGCCACTTACCTAATATTATACTTATTTTCTGCTGCTTCCTTTTACAATATAAACATATGGTGCAACGTGTACAAAGTTTATCAGTATGTATATATTTCATGTTTTTCATGGGAAATCAGTTCTAAAATTGACACTATATTTAAGATTGAAGTATTAAACATTTAAAAACATTTAGGAAGCATCTTATTTCAGCAGAATATCTTGCCTTTTGCTACTTTGTTAACGTAAACTATGAAGTAGGCTTAAATGTTAAAAGGTTTGATGAGTTTAAGTATTCAAATAAACATTGAATGGTTATAAGACAGAAGAAGCTTGGATCAAAAATTAAGTGGGTGGTGTATAACATGAGCTTTATAACCAATACATTATTTTTAAAATCTCAGCTCCTGTTTTCTTATAGGGTTCTTTATGCCTTTACATTGGTATTAAGCATTTATAGGGTGCTTACGAACACTTGCCTTTTCACCTAGAAACAGACTTTACCAACTGAGGACAGTGACATTCATCACATTTCCAAGGTGAGACTAATACTGAGGAGGAAACTCAATAAAAGGTGTTAGGGAACAGTTTATAGTGCAAGTTTATGTGCAGTTATACACACAAGACACACATTGAAAAAACATGCATTGGATTAAGAACATACTGTACAGATTGCCCAGTTTATGAACACAGATTTCCCTTAAAAATATGTAATATATTGCACATAATGAAAAATCCAGAGAGCATGAACTGATTGAAATTAAATACTGAATTGTGGGCTCTTTATAAAATTGAAAAAGTTTTGTATTTCACAGTCATACTGTAAGCTGTTTGTTTGTTTTTTTCCATTTTTAAAATACTGCACTGTGATACAATTGTAGTATACTTTTAATCACTTGCTTGTTTCTATTTCATAAATAATTTGTTTTTCATTTAAGCATTTGGCACAATCAGCCTAGCAGATATCTTATGAATGGATAACTTTATGTATATATAGTATATATCTACTAATTTAACATAACACTAGAAGGAGAGTTTTTGCTAATACTGGACAGAATGTCAATTTATTTAATGGCATGTCAGTGAGATCCTTTGGAAATCCTTTAGTGCCTTATGGAGGCAGAGAGGGGGCAGACCATAGGATTATGCTTACTTGTTACAGTAGTGTCCAATTTCAGATCTAACCAAATACAGCAGGGTTAATTCCAAAGATTTTTAATCCGCTTTGCTCACTTATTCTACAACCATGCTTACCTTATCGAATTAAAATGACTTTTTATGTGTTGGAACTATTTTCATATTCATTTAGTTTAATGTACGTTTTATTTCTAAAAGAAAACCCTTCCTACACATGGAAAAAAACAATGACAAGAACTTGAAAGTTATCCCCTTTGTGCCTTTGGGTTTTTAGTTAAAGGAGCACCATAATACATCTGTATGATGTTTGTCATGATTTTGTCAATCTTACAGCTCTTACTGTATATTGCAACCCAAGGCCTTTCACTGTGTATAAATGTCTAGACATGCAATGTGTGATTACAAAAAGCATTTACTTTTGTTAAGATTAGTAGTAGAGTGAAACTATATGAGCTTTCCCTTGGGTTTATGCTCTGTGTATGGTAGCTTTATTATTAATACTTGTATTTAATTGTAAATACGCGAACAATTATCTTGTTAATACAAATGTATTTTTGTATTTTAAGATGTATTGATTTCTGTAATATTTGTAAAAATTGTAAAAAAAATAAATTTAGTAGAAAAACATTGCAGCATGAATTGTTTTATTTTTCTTTACTAGAAGCACACACAGCATTTTTAAATATTTTTCAGGCAAAGGTACATTTGTGGTATTTTTAATAATTGTCCACAAAATTAGCCCTCCTCAGTACTACCAGTTAAACTTTGAATAACCCATACATTTATATTATTTTTGCTTACTTTATGGTGTATTACATCTGGAGACAAGGTAATTCTTATTAGCAGTTTATGACTTAAGGAATATGAACTACTGTATTTACAAAAGACCTCAATCCTAATGTTTTTCATTTAAGTTATTTACGCATTTTAATAGTCGCTCTAGTCAATTAGCCAATGAACCTGGAAAAGATGAATGTAAGAGCTGAAAATGTGCCTAAGAAAAAAAGTGGGATTTTATGTACATCCTCTTCAATTATATCCCTTTAAATACAGATACATTATTAGATGTCATTGTGTCAGTCCAATAGCATCTATTCGTGTCTAGAGACAAAACAACTTTTTTCTTGTTAAGGAACATGAGACAGCTTACTGTACATCTAGCCTATTTGGTTGCTACTAAAACATTTCTTTAAAGACACTAGGGTATCAGCTTTTACAACATGTTTAGGTGGCTTGTTCCAGACCTCCATTCCTTTGTGCTAAAACTACCTGCTTATCTCAGTTCTAAATATACTTGTATATTTGTGTATTAATTTGTGTATTAATATACCTTTATTCTGTACTGTATAGTGAGGCTTCTGATCCAAAACTACTTCCTTCCAATCTGTTGCTGCACTGAAATTAAATGAGTGTACCTACTGGTGTGTGGACCCCTTTCCAAAGATGTCCAACTTTCTAATTGCAGGTGATGTGTAATATTTAACGAAAATGTGAATGCTCAAACTGAACACTCTTAAGGGTGAAAAAATGAAAAGAAAATTATTTTGGATAGGGGTAAATGGTAAATGGTGTAGTTTTACATTGGAACAATGACAGGGGAACAATTCATCTTCCATTGGAATTGAGTATCTGGTGCATGGAAGTAATTCTGCATCAGCAGCCTTGCTATACAGCAGAGAATACAGGTATAGAACAACAAGATTCAAGAATCAAGATTCAAGATTCAAGATTCAAGATTTCTTTATTTGCCATATACAACAAGTGTATTGGAATGCTTACTTGTTTGGCTGTACCAAATAACATTAGAGAAAAAAACAAAAAATAGGCACAAATGACAAACAGACATGGACAATAAATTTAGACAATAGATGTTATAATACAGCCAAGACAGGATACAGTGCAAACAGTGCCATACCTTAAAGTGCAGGTGCAAATATATGCAGGTGCTAATTTGAGCTGTTTAAGATGCAGACTGCTTGGGGGATGAAACTGTTTTTGAATCTATTCGGCAGTGTTCTTATACTGCGATACTTCTTATAACAAGGAGATCACTCCTTAACAAAAAGAATGCTCCCCTACACACACACCCTTCTCCATTCCTTACTTAAGAAAAGCATGTAACTTGTGACAGCGTGGCTGGGAGATACACTAGTCAAACAGCATGTCCTGTTGCTCACTGAGGGATATCTTTTTGAAAGGACTGGAAAACCAGGCTTTTTCCCTTATTACCTTGTACAACAGTCATTATTTGCTGTACTGTACAGTATATGATTGTTATTATACTATTATGATTAAAGTAAACATATTAGATGTGTGCTCTAGTTTTAATATTTGTGCTGTTCGTTATTTAAATGACATGTTTCAATACATTAAATGTAAAGAACATAATGAACTTTTTTTAAGTACTGCTCAGTCATGTAGTAAAACAGTGAAGTGCCTTCCAGGCCTGGTTACGTCAGCTTTAGCTTGACTTGCTTAAAAATGTGAGATAACATAACAGCCTGTGGTCATTGAGAGTATGAGTGGAATAATTCTGCTTTAAATCAAGTTTTTTAAAACTAATTTATTAGTAGTGTTATTTCTCTGGTGTATGTTATGTTAAAAGTATCTTTGGCTGTGAATCATTGAAATGGGTCTCGGAAGTCAAGCCAAGAACCTTTGTAATAGCAGCTACTTGTACATCTACTGTATGTCAGCCTTTAAAATGCAGAAGTCTTAATTAAAGATAATAAAGGTCACAGTTCTTTGTCCAGTCTCTTTCCTCATCATTTTAATATAAGTTAAATGCAATAGATTTTAAAACGTCCTTTTTATTGCCTTATTTCAGCAAAAAGCTTTTGACAGTAAATTATTTTTTTTTCTATGCCATCATTGATCCACACTAACAAAGCCTGACTAGTTCAATTGATCAGTGTAGAAGAAAAAATTAACCGCATGCTGTTTGCTTGGACAGTAGTAACACGACTCTCTAAGGATAAAGCTATTAATCAAAATGGGTGGATATTCCTGTACTAAAGCCTACATTGCAGTACCACGTTTAAAAGCTTAAAAAAATGTGTGTGGCGCACGCTAAAGGCAAAACTACAGCAAGTGCTGATGGACAGCTCCCAGTGTATTCCGATATACAGTAACTATGTGAGACAACCAGCGATGTGTTTTGCGTTTGCAATGACAGATCGTTGAGGTTTGAGTCATCTTGGCGTTGTAATTTAACCAGTCATCAGCTGTGAATAAAGACTGGTGCAGACAATGCTAAAAGTACGCAGTAGCAAGACGTTTTACTTCCGTGTCAGTGCCTTACATGCCTTACATCTACAGTAGTATTTGCCACCGCTACATACGTATAAACTCACATCCACCTTGCAACTTTACGGTTGGGGCTTATTTTAAAAGAAGGCGTTTTTAATCGTTCACGACCATAAGCTTTTCATCCAGATTGAAATTCTTGGTTGGTAAATGAAGACACCTGCATGCTATGGGTATAATTGCATTAGTCGATTAAGGATTATTCGTTGAATTAAGTTTTTGTTGTTATTTTTATCATTCGTTATCATCCATGTGCTTGTAAACGGAGTCGTCTGCAAAATGAGGAAACGGTTTTCTGGACCGTGGGTATACATCTTTTAACCGTTGTCGTGCTTTGTTCCTGCTCACTGCAGCATCCTTTTCTGTTAACGACAGGTTTTGCGCTTCAAAGAACTGGGAAAATATTTTATTCTGCAACTGTTTTAGTGCTTGGAGCTGCTTTTTAGTTTAGCTAATTGGCCATGTTCTTGAACAATCGATAGACTGTTGCAAAGCGGTTGATGTATAGCAACTACGTTCTCCAGCTGGAGCCAGACTTCGGCGCAAACTGGTATTTTTCCCTCGAGTTGCGCTGCTCCAGAGGATCAGTGCATTGCAGTACTCCTTTGTAATCGCCAAGGTCGAACAGGAATACTGGATTCGCTGTCTTTATAAATCAAATTGCAGCTATTTGTGATTGGTTCTCAGCTGGCGGTAGCGGTGACCAGAGGAGCGTGTTTTATTTTTGGAGCTGATCAAATTTACCGCATTGCTTCTTTTTCATTTATGGTTAGCGTTTCCTGATCGGATTTGGATTTTCCGTCTGTTGACTCGCATTGGGATGGCTGAGCGTAGGAGAAACTGGAATAAAGAAGATGACTTGCCAGTTTACTTGGCCAGACCAGGTACCACTGCACAGACCCCGCGGCAAAAGTCATGGGGAATGTTTGCTTCTGTGGAGGGGGCCTACGAGAACAAGACCATAGATTTCGATTCTTACAGCGTAGGGAGGAAAGGGAACCGTACCCCGAGGAGTGGAAGCCGGGAGATGCTGGAAGGGGACAATTTCAGCGAGACAGCTAGTGATGTGAGCGAGGTCTCCGGCTCGATTATCAGTTCCCCCAGCGACAGGGACGATAAGACCCTGGGAGTGGAAATTAAATATCCAGCTGGCAAGGAGTTACTACAGGGACAGGAAAATGGAAAGGTAGGATACAAATCCATTACTCTAGGACTTAAAAGCATAAATCCTACTCATACTGTATACTGACCATGAAAGATTGCATGTACTGTGTTATCATAACTGTTTCTCACGTGTTCTTTAAAACCCCGCTCTTTATTTATAACCAACAGAAAACGTAATGATACGATTAATATAAAATTCATTCATATTTAATTTGTTGCTTTTTTTCAATACAACAAGAAACACTGTTTTAAAAAAGTTCGCATTTGAGCTATTACCTAGTATGGCTTTGGCATTTGTAAACCAAGACAGCTGTGGTTTATTTTTTTAACTTCACCTTACTTCAGGCACAAACAAGGTTTTCGGTGTATTATCGCTGGTTCCATCCTTATTGCCGAAATGAAACTGTTTGGTATTGATGCAGTACGGACGCATCGCTTAGCGTCTTCGTACGTTTTTTTTCCTGACCCTGCTTGGATGGTTTGAAGCAATGTGAAGGTTTTGATATCACAAAATAATTGCTTCTTGCTGCTTAATCTAATTAAGAATTTTGGTCTGTGATATGGCTTCAAATTTTTTTAGAGAACTAGAAGCCATAATACCTACTTTATGAAGATACAGATGTCTTGGTTTTGTGTTAGAAAACTTTTTAATGCAGTAATTCACATTGATTAATTAGAAACTATAAAAAATGCATGGTAGAGTAGCTTCAATTGACTTTAACGTAAGATTGTGAGAATGCCTCAGTTTAACTTTTGAGACACAGTGTTGTAAAAGCGTACATACAGTATGTGCAATTAACTTAAAAGACTATTGAAGCAGACAAGGCGTTTCTTTGTCTACCAATTTGGTAGCACGTAGTATGGTGTGAAGAAATCTGCATGTATTCATTCATACAAAGGCCACAGCATGATACCAAGTGCATGGATTTCAAGAGTAGTATTTTGCTGTCTCGTTTTTTAATGGAAAAAAAATGTAAGATGCAATAAACAGAAGCCTAGGATTTTGATTCTTTAGATTATTATTTCGTTGGATGAATTCATTTTCACATACAGCTTGACAGCATGCACGTACAGTATACTGTATTTCCATACACTTTCGACACTCTAGTTTACTCTTATTTGTTAAAGGCCTTGTGTATTTTTTACGTGTTAATGACCTTTTAGATTACTAGAATAATTTAAAGCTTGTAGCACTGCAATATTAAGAACTGAAAAAAGCTGATGAGATTTTCTGTATTACAGTACTTTCCTCAATTAAATATCTGTGGCTACAATAATATATTGATCCCTTTTGGTGGAGTGAGCGTTTCGGTTTAAACGCAATCTTCAGTTACATTGCAGGCTACAGTATATGCTTAACAATGTTTTCAGAGGTACGTCAAATTCACAATACCAATCAGAGCAAGTCAGCTATTTACTCATACTTTGGTGGCAACAAGATAACAGAAGTGTTCAATACTGCTATTTAAGTTAACCATGAAGGAAAAAGATACCTAAAATTCAAAATGAAGTCTTGATCTACTGAGGTATTTTAAACTGGGTTTAGAAGCTACAGTATTACCATTTTATAGTAGTACAGTAGCTGCCGTACTGTACTGTATGTCGACTGTCTCCTTTGCCCCTCGCAAACGTTCAGGTTTTATGATGCAGAGGGCGCTACAGCCCTTAGTTGGAGCTCTAGATACTGTAGCAACTCCCCGTAGGGAGATTCGTCCATCTATTATTTGCTACATAAAGGTGGCAGATTTACTGATCATAGTGAAAGTGGGTCTAAAAGGATCTGGTGATTTCTTTTAAAAAAATTCGATCGTTATCTTGAATATCCAGCAAGAATGTCTGTGTCCGGGTATCAAGGAAAGAAAAGTATCCCTCACATAACGGTAAGAAAATACTGTATTAGGCGTTGCTTCTCTAATGTATTTAATAACTACCGTGTCTTTATGTTGTACTGAGATGTAATCTCTGCTGGTGATAGTGAAAGCTTCGTAGGTGATATGACGCTACATAATGATGCGTTTTGGTGATGCCAGATGAAAATTGAGAACGGAAAACAAAATAATGGGAAAAAGGGGAGAAATGCATTAGACAGCTATGGCGGCTCGTTGAGGGCGAAGCTGGGAACTGACAAATGTGTACTGCCTTGACAGAAAATGGCAGGGAAAAAAAATCGCAATTATTGGTTAAAATTGTTAAACACAATTCTGGAGTTGTGGTAAAAAGGTTGATCTATAAGATGTTTGCGTGCATATCATTCCGTTATTCGCCATCTGTCTATTATTATTGCTGTGCAAGAGCGATCTAAAAATGATAACTGGATTGGGGTTCTCAATGCAATTTCCAAATATTTAAAATGAAACAAAAACTGTGTCCTTCCACGACAAGTTGATGTAAATCAGTACAGTAGATGCGTCGTGTTTTGTTGCGTGGGTACCATTGCTATTTTAATGTATTTCGCCGAATAACACATTCCAGTTAGGAGATCAAACGCGCTGGATAATCGAGAATCAAAACAGACAAAAGATGGAAGGAGATCAGCCCATCTTCGAATCACTCGTTGTGTCCCAGAATAAAGTACTAAAAAAACATTTATGTTCCTGCACATTTGAAATGTGTGCAATGAGCAAAGGATAGTAAGGTGACAGTCATTCTTCCCATTGACAGGGATGGCTGTAGCAAAGACAACACCTTTGGCTTCTATTAATAGAACAATAGCTTGGTAATACAGTCAAGGTTTGTAGATTGAAATTGTATGAATGCTGGGCAGGAAATCACCTGGCAGGAACCAGTGTTCTCCAAACTGTTCTCCATCAAGTATTTTAATGCATATTGATATATTATCCAAGTCTTTAGAATTATGGCTATTACGAATAATCAATATTGCACGGGATATTACCGGGAATTCGAAAGTAAATGAGTAAAATGTGAATGTAAAACAACAAACATTCTGTTGATGATAGAATATTTTAACTCTAAATGATTTACTTAATAACTTGATATTATTATTGATATGCATACCAATATGCACATTTTAATAAAAATTCAATCAACCACGTCAATTTCATTTTAATTATTGAATTATTCAGTGTACTGAAATAGGATGTTTTTTTTAAAGTTAATTTCATACATTATTGAAAATTCTGTACATAATAAAATTCTGTACAATAATGCAGGTTTTCCTGTAATGACCTATTTTCAAAACCTACAACGTTCTAGCTCCCAGTTGCGTTTCTGGAATGCCATCTGCATTATTGAAGTTATATGCTAGACTATGTTTTGATTGAAACATCAATGCTTACCCTTTCTTCTTCCCACAACATGCAAACGTTGTGCTGCATGTCCAATAGAATAGACAGCTCCTTTCAGAGCTTTTCAGGCACTACTGTAGGTACTAAAAGATGAATGACGGTAACCATGGAAACTGAAATTGCTCCAATCTGTTTGTAATGTGTAGGGACAGTTTGTGTTCATACTGTTATGTTGCTGTAGTATTTTACTTTTGGTATGCGCCAGTCAAAAGATTAAATAACCTTTTTTTTGCATTCAGTATCTCATGTGCCAGCCTTCCTCTCTTTAGTGGTCAGCCTAGTCTATTTTCTCATTTCATATACTGTATTACCGTTAGTTTTTCTAAAAGATGAAACAGATTCTTATTTCCATCTAGTTGAACAATTGGTCTTCATCATGCAAAAGCATTGTGCTTCTTAATTGGACCTCATAATGTAGGTCTGTTGATATTTGCCCCCCTCCCACAAGCAATAGTGTATATTAAGTTTATATTAACAGCTTATTGACGTTTGGGTTTTTACTTTTGGTGTAAGAACTAATATGCGGATAGTTTTCATTCACAAGTGGCTTTACCTGTCATTGCCATTATGGCCGAATAAAAAACTTTATACTGTATATAGAATAAACTAACACTCATTAGTGTACTCTGCAAGAGGAAGTACAGTAGGACTGTAGAAAATAGTTGCCAGAAGTTCAGCACTTCTTACATTAAGCATGATTAAACCCAATCAAATCTAGAAGGTGTTACAAATGTGTTATCCTTGAAGTTGCATGTAATTGTAGATAATGCAGAGCCCATTTCCCTCAAAAGTTCAAAATATGAATAATATTTATATTGTGCAAAAGAAGCCTGCAATTTTGTTTAATAAATGTTGTCCATTACAGTAACTCTTTTGTGGAAGTTACAAGTCTTAATGAAACTTACCTAGTTATATTTTAATCACCGTGGACAGAATTCTATTAGTTTACAGGAAATGTCAATCCATATATGACTTTTTTTAGGAAGATTTACTTTTAGGAAGACATCAGCAAATGTCTTTATCAATCCAGATGTGCACTTCAAGATGAACTGGTAACAGCCCCATTTCATATAAGCAATAATACGGTTCACTGAAATAGTATAAGCCATTAAGTTACAATCCACATCCCCACTTTTTTTCTAACATCAAAATGCACAGACTTTCAATTACAAGATTTCCTCCTTCTGTTGTACATAAAAAAACAATTTCTGTTTGTTGATATGGTGGAATACAGATGATAGACTGAAACAAACGACTGAGGTTATACTGAAATATTGGCGACGCCTTTATTATTGTTTTGGTTGTATGGACTCTCTGTCCAATCGCTCTCGAATCAAAGCTGTTGGTCTGAAGCTGAATTAAGAAATGTTTCCTAGGCCTTTTGTCTTAGTTCAGGAGCCATGTAAGTCTTTCCATTAAATCCCTAGCAGTCCTGATTAAGGGCAGCTTTGCTCTCTGTAACCCTCCTTCTCTCTAGCCCTTTTAATGTACACTCCATTAGGGATTTGTGAAATAAAGTGAAACACTTGAATTGCTTAAAAATTTATATACAGTAATAGAAATTATACAGAGTGCATTTGGGTGTTTCTTAGTATAATTGTAAAAATCCTACTGAGTACTGAGTTTTTGCATGCTAAGTAGAAACATGTAAGGATTTCTCAACAAGACATTCTTGGTAATATTGAAAACGCTCTCATATTTTCTTCTTGGCTAAGGT